GCCCATTGCAGACCGGTGGGCGTGCTTCCATGCGACGCCCGCGCCCGGCACAATGGTGTCGCCCTGGTGCGTCAGGCGGTCGTCGCCACGCTCGTCGACGAGGGCCCACTCGCTCCGCTCGCCCTGCGTGCGGCAGAGGTACGGGTTCTCGCGGCGCTCCTCCGTCTCGGGCGTTTCTGCCAGGATCAACGTCCACGGCGAGGCCATGTGCTCGTAGTAGAGCAGCACCTGCCGCGCGCTCTCCTCCTCCTCGGAGCGGGGCGGGCTTCGACGAATATACACGCCGTTCATTTGCTTGATTGTGCTCCCCGCGATGAAGAAGCCGAAGGCCGGCTCGCTGACGTAGCACGAACGCCGCGCACGCGGCGCGCCGCCGAGCTCGGTTGAGAGCATGTCGTTGCGGGAGAGGCTCATCCCGTGATAGGAGAGTGCGACGGAGCGGACGAGGAGACACGGCACCTCTCTGAGAGCCGACGCCGCAACAATGAGAGACTGGGTTCGCGCTCCCTGCCTTTAGGGAACCCTTTTTCGTGCCATCGGCGCTCGGCGCGCAACACGCCATCTCCGCCTCCGCCATTCCCACTAGTCGCAGGAATCGCCACCCTTGCGCGCAAGCGAACTAATAATTTAACGCACCGGAAAACGGGCACGGGACTGGCGCGCACTGGCCGACTAAACACAGGTAAACCACGGAGCCGCCCGCCAAGCGACAATGATGACAGTCAGTTTGCACAGTACTAGCCCAACAGCGGGGCGACCGCCCCCTGCAGGTAGGTTTGCCGCTCCTTGGCCGTCGCGAAGCCGTCCCACTCGTAGAATGGAACGCTGATCACCCTCCAGCCAGCCGCCGCGAGGAGGCGCCGCTTGAGCAGCGTTGGCCCATTGGGTCTGCGCAAGCCCCGGCCGTCGGGCAGCAGGAAGTGAAAGGGGCCGTCCACCTCGACCGCGACGCGTGACGAGGGCAGCGCCAGGTCGAGCGAGTAGCCAGTGCGCGGCTCGAGATGCTCCTCCTCGAAGCCGACCTGGACGTCGGCGAGGGCATCCGCTACCGAGCGCTGCAAGCCTGACGGCCGAGCTATGGTCGCCACCATAGCGTCGCGGCAAAGCTGGCGCTCAGAGGCGGGGAGAAGATGCTGCTGCCCGTCTGCCCCGCGTTCCAGAGAAAGCCAGAGCTGCCACTGGTGAAGCTGAGAGCGGTTCCCGACGCTCCAGCTAGACGGATCCCGCGCGAGCGAGTCGCTGATCACGCGCGAGCAGTCGGCAAGCAGCGCCTGGTGATGATGGTCTGCCGTCGCATACGCCCACGCTGTGTTGGATAGCTCCTGCGGGTTGAAGCGATCCAGCCCGCTCCGCACCGCCTCCTCCGCCACCGCCGCGTACAGCGCGTCCGCAGCCACGCCCGCCGTCGCGTACGCCCACACCGTGTTGGCCAGGTCCTGAGGGATGAAGCCAGCCAGCCCGCCGCGCACCGCCGCCTCCGCCACCGCCGCGTACAGCGCGTCCGCAGCCACGCCCGCCGTCGCATACGCCCACACCGTGTTGGCCAGGTTCTGAGGGTTGAAGCGATCCAGCCCGCTCCGCACCGCCGCCTCCGCCACCGCCGCGTGCAGCGCGTCCGCAGCCACGCCCGCCGTCGCAAACGCCCACACCGTGTTGGCCAGGTCCTGAGGGTTGAAGCCAGCCAGCCCGCCGCGCACCGCCGCCTCAGCCACCGCCGCGTACAGCGCGTCCGCAGCCACGCCCGCCGTCGCAAACGCCCACACCGTGTTGGCCAGGTCCTGAGGGTTGAAGCGATCCAGCCCGCTCCGCACCGCCTCCTCCGCCACCGCCGCGTACAGCGCGTCCGCAGCCACGCCCGCCGTCGCATACGCCCACACCACGTTGGCCAGGTTCTGAGGGTTGAAGCCAGCCAGCCCGCCGCGCACCGCCGCCTCCGCCACCGCCGCGTATAGCGCGTCCGCAGCCACGCCCGCCGTCGCGTACGCCCACACCGTGTTGGCAAGCCCCTGCGGCTTGAAGCCAGCCAGCCTGCTCTGCACCGCCGCCTCCGCCACCGCCGCGTACAGCGCGTCCGCAGCCACGCCCGCCGTCGCATACGCCCACACCGTGTTGGCAAGCCCCTGCGGCTTGAAGCCAGCCAGCCTGCTCTGCACCGCCGCCTCCGCCACCGCCGCGTACAGCGCGTCCGCAGCCACGCCCGCCGTCGCATACGCCCACACCGTGTTGGCAAGCCCCTGCGGCTTGAAGCCAGCCAGCCTGCTCTGCACCGCCGCCTCCGCCACCGCCGCGTACAGCGCGTCCGCAGCCACGCCCGCCGTCGCAAACGCCCACACCGTGTTGGCAAGCCCCTGCGGCTTGAAGCCAGCCAGCCTGCTCTGCACCGCCGCCTCCGCCACCGCCGCGTACAGCGCGTCCGCAGCCACGCCCGCCGTCGCGTACGCCCACACCGTGTTGGCCAGGTTCTGAGGGTTGAAGCGATCCAGCCCGCGGCGCACCGCCGCCTCCGCCACCGCTACAAACAACGGGCGCACAACCGTCACTTGCAGGCCGCACTTTGCCACGCCGTGGGCGACGTTGGCCAGCTCGCGCGCCCGGCACGAAGAAACGAGGTCCAGCGTGCGCTGCACCAGCTGCTCAAGCCGCTCCTCGTGCCGCCGCTCGACGCGCTGCTTGCCCAGTTTGTTCCACAGGTTCGCGGCGTGGATGTGGTTCAAGCTCGTACTGTGGGCAGCAGAGAGCGTGAGCAATGCGTCAGCGCTGCCAGCCTGGCTTATCAAAGTGGTCAGCTTCCGAGGGTCGACCTGATCACTGTCGGCGCAGCGGACAGAGAAGGAGCGATCATTGCACATTCGTGCGTCGCGTCCTTGCGCCCCGTGCATCGGCGGTCGCTCCCGGCGACCGCTGTGCTGAGGTTGCCCCTCGCCGCGCCGGTCATCGCGCCGGTCATCGCGCCGATCGTGCCAGTCGCGCTCGCGCTCGCCTCTGCCCCGAGCGTCGTAGCCGCGCCGCTCGTCATGCCGCCCGTCATGATGCGGCCGTTGCTCGCCTCGCCATGGCTCATCGTGCCATCGCTCATTGGGCCATTGTGGCTGAGCGTGCCATCGCTGCTCGCGACCTCCGCACCAAGAGCTGTTGTAACCGCGCCGATCGTGTTGCCGCCCGTCATGATGCGGCCGTTGCTCGCCGCGCAATGGCTCGTCGTGCCATCGCTCAGCGGGCAATTGTGGCTCAGCGTGTCTTCGCTGCTCGCGATCACTGCACCAAGAGTCGTTATAGCCGCGCCGCTCGTCATGCCGCCCATCATGGTGCGGCCATTGCTCGCCTTGCCAATGCTCGTCGCACCGTCGCAGCTCATCACGCCGCGGCTCATCGTGTGATCGCGACCGCCGTCGCGACTCGCCCTGCCATCGCAACTCTTCGCGTCCGCACTCGGCGCGCCGTTGCTCATCACGCCAGCGATGCGCCTCGCTCCGATCGGACCTCTTGGCGTCGAGCCGGGGCGAGAGCATGTTGTGCGAGTTGGGCCAAAAGCTCGAAAATGTCCCCGAAAGCGTGTCTCGAGTTCCCCACAGCCGGCGCGCAGCCAGAAAGCACCGCTCGCGTGTCGGCCGCACTCCCTGGGTCCCAGGGAGTGCGGCCGACCGACCAGACCGAGTAGGCTCGACGCCGCGCTCGCTGTGGAGCTGCCACAAACTCGCCGCCGAGCGTGCCACCGAAGGTGTCCCGTCGGAGGTGATAAGGTTTGAGACCTGAGGCTGCGGAGGTGACGCCTGAGGTACCGGCCCGTGCACGGCGACTCGGCCGGCGACCGCCACGGGCTCAGACGAGACTTGTCGACGCGTTCCGGCTCAGCTTCACCGTGGTCCTCGGGCGTCTGCCGACGTCAGGACCACCCATACAGCTCGCGGGTTTGAGGTCGCAAGAGCCAAGATGGTGGCGTTTGGACATCACAACCATCACACAAGACAGCCTGTAGGTGATGGCGGGACGGCGCAGTGTTTGTGGCACTCGGGAGTATAGGCACCCGCGGCACGGCCCCGCGGGGCTGCGGAACCGGCCCCAGAAGGGGACGGTCTGGGCGAGCGTGGCAGTTCTTGCGCTAGTATGAGCACCTTCTATCACAGCACTACCGACCCTGGTCATTAGAGCTGCCAGGAATAGCGTCAGGAGCTGGAAGGTAGGAGTCAAAACCCCTCATATTTGAGACATCGCGTGGCCCATATAAAGTACTCGCACAACGAGCCCGAGATGCGCGCGAACCCGCGCGTCCGAGCCCGCCGAGGGAAAAGAATTTTACCGCGCTTTCGCAGAACCTCGGTCGGAGCGACACTGCTCGGCGACTGCTCGTGACCCTCACAGGTGGCCGGAGGGCGCGACCGCGAGGGGAGTTGCCACCCTTGTCACTCTTGCGCACTTGCACTTGTGTGTGTGGGCCCTTTTCTATCTAGGACAAGTCCTTCACACAACTGCGACGGACATAGGCGAGGGGGGGAGGGCGGGGGCGCCGCACAGGCGTCGCGCGAGGCCGGGGCCCTGCTCTGCCGGCTCCGCGACACGCGCCGGCGCACGCGTGGCTCTCAGTCTGCGTACGGCCCGTCGTGCTCGTCCGCGAAGCCGCCCTTCATCGACTGCATGATCCGCTCCCGCTCCTTGATCTTGGCCTCTGCCCGCTGCGCGTCCGCGCCGTGCTTCAGCGGGTCAAAGGCCTCGTAGTAGCTTGCCGACTCGGCCTGGCGCAGAGCCACGGGAGGGTGAGCTGAAGGCGGTGATGGCGGCAGCGGCAGCGGCAACGACGTCGGCGGCCACAACGGCGGCGAGGCGGCGGCGGCAACGGCGGCGGCGGCGGCCGGCGGCGGCGAAACGGCGACAGGGGCGGCGTTGGCAGAAGGGGCGGTGCGATCGCGGGGGAAGCGGGCAGAGGGGAGGAGACAGAGGGGGGGGGGGGTGGCGGTTGCCTCCAGCTTCTCCGAGCCAAACACGAGCGGCCCCGCCTCGGCGACGAGGGCACCAACCGCCGACGACGCGTCGCTGAGCGCCTAATCTCGGCTGACCTCGGCTGACCTCGGCTGATCTCGGCTGACCTCGGCTGACCTCGGCGCGCCCCACCGACGTGAAGCTGATCTCGGCTGATCTCGGCTGATCTCGGCTGATCTCGTCTGATCTCGGCTCATCTCGGCTAGAGCTCGCCGACTTGAAGCCAGACAGCTTCTGCAGGACTGCGCTCTGCCTAAAGGGATGCACTCCCGCTGCACATGAGCGAGTGAGCCCCGCCCCGACCTGCTCCGACAGCACGGGCTCTCTGCCGCTGCTTCTTGCTGAGCATCATGCTCGTCCGCTTGCGCGCGAGGTACTTTGCGCGCCGCCGCTCCTACAGAGGCCAACTTCCTTCCTCCGTCCCACCCCCACTGTCTTGTCTTGAGGCTCGCCCGTGCTGCGGCGCTCCAGCTCGCTCAAGCCGCCGCCGCCGCCGCCGTCGCCGTCGCCGTCGCTGTCGTCGTCGTCGTCGCTGTCCGCCTTGGCGCCCTTGCCACGCCACTTCTTGCCGACGACCTGAAGTGACGACTCTCTGATTCGCTCTGTCTGTCTCACTCCATCACTCACCCGCCGCCACTTGTCGCCTCGACCGCCCCCCTCGACGCAAGCTCGGCCACCTCTCGGCCACCTCTCGGCCATCTCTCGGCCACCTCTCGGCCATCTCTCGGCCATCTCTCGGCTACCTCTCCGCCTCCTTCGACGCAATCTCGCGCCGCAACTTCTCGTACTCTTCACGCGGGTCCTGCTCAACACAGCGTGTGCCGTCACCACCCTCACCCACCAGCAGTCCATTCTACTCCCGGCTCCTGATGCGGATGCCTCCTCCCCCCCCTCCCCCCCGCCGCCCCCGCCGCCCCCGCCTCCGCCGCCCCCGCCGCCGCCACCGCCGCTGCGGCTGCCCTGGGCCCGCGTCGCCGACAGCGACGGGTCAGCGGCCTACGTGTGAATAGGACGTGTGAATAGGGAGGTGTGAATAGGGCGTGCTCTCTCCCCCCTCGGATGGGAGCAGCGGAGCACGTGTCCTCTCGAGCGCTAGCTGACAGGCGGACACTCTCTCTGCTCAGAGTCTAGGCTCCGAGTCTAGGGCTCAGCCGCCGCCGCGCTGCTCCCGGCCGCCGCCGCCGCCGCCTTGCGCTGCAGCTGCTGCCGCATCCGCACCTCGAAGCTGTCGGCGGCGGCGCCTGATCGCGGCCGCGGGCGGTGTGAAGAGACGCCGTTCACACCCTCGCACACCGCCTCGAAGCGTGGCGGCGGCGCGCGCCGTCTTCCGCAGCCGAAGTGCCCGCGGTGCTCGCCTCGGCGGAGATCAGCCGAGATCAGCCGAGATATGGCGAGATCAGCCGAGCATATGGCGAGATAAACCGATCTGCCGGGATCAGCGGAGAGCTGGCGAGATGTGGCGAGATCCGCCGGGATCAGCCGAGATTTGCGGAGATCAGCCAAGACCAGCCGAGATCCGCCGAGATCCGCCGAGATCCGCCGAGAAATGGCGAGAGATTGGCGCGATTTGGCGCGATTTGGCGCGATTTGGCCGCGGTGCTCGCCTTGAGTGCGGCGGAGGTGGCGGCGGAGAAGGAGGTCGCCGTCGCCTGTTCACACCCGTCGCCGTGAAGAGGCGCCGTTCACAAAGCCCAGCGTGCAGAAGGCGATCTCCGCCACCCTCTTGCGGAGCTATCTGGGCTAATCTGGGCTCATCTGGGCTCATCTCGGCTCATCTCGGCAAAGCTCGCCTTCATGCGGAGCTTCTGGGCGAGCTCCTCCGGGTCCACGGCGTGCTCCTTGCTCAGCGTCGGGTCGGAGAGCATGTCGTGGGCGGCGATCGCCTTCTTCGGCAGCGCCGCCTCCTGCGCCTCGGCGTTGGCCGCCTGCTCGCCGAGCGGGAGCTGTGAATAGGGAGCTGTGAACAGGGAGCTGTGAACAGGGAGCTGTGAAGAGGCGTTGGCCGCCTCCTCGCCGAACGAGAGCAGCGACAGGTTCTTGACGCCTGAAGGGAGCAGAGGAAGAGCTCACAGCGGACGGCCCAACGGCAGTTCCACGAGAGAGCAGCGGCAGGCGCGTCACCCTTCCTCCGCTTCTTGGCCGCCGGCTCGGGGGGCGGCGCCACGGCGCTCGGTCGCGGGACGATGTCGTCGAAGGGCTCGAGGAGGACCTCCATGCGCAGGATGCGGGGCGGGTAGGTTGGCCGGTCGTGCTCTCCGACCTCGACCTCGTTGAACCGGTTCAGGTTGTAGATCGAGTTGCCGGTGACCTTTCCAAAGATGGTGTGCTTGTTGTCGAGCCACTCGCACCGGTCGAGCGTTACGAAGAACTGGGACTTGTTGGTGTCCGGGCCGCTGCTCGCCATCCCGAGCAGGCCTGTGCGCAGGCGTCCTTCTTTGTGCGCACGGGTTTCTCTTTTTGGGGAGGGGGCCCGCTCCCCCGCCACCCGAGGCGTGCCTGTTCGCAGATCTCTGTTGTGGCGGGGCGCCTTTTCGTTTTCGGCCGCTGCTCGGCGCCCCGAGCAGGCCGCGGTGTGTGAAGCGAATGCGCTGGTGCGTCTCGTCCTTGAACTCGCCTGTTCACAGCTCCCTCTCCCTCGCGGCTGTGAAGAGATGGCGTGCTTGTCGCCCCGTCCTCGAACTCGCCACGCTCGTTCTTGTGCTCGGCTGACAGCGCGCACTCGCCGCCCTTGCCCGTGCCTGGCGGGTCGCCGGTCTGCGCCCGTCAGCCCGTCAGTGGGACACACACGTCCCTGGCACGGACGACAGGGCACGCGCACTCGCGGAACACACACGGACACGGGGGCATGGCACACGAGGCGGCGTGGTGCGATCTCAGGGAGAGGCATCACCACACAAGACTAAAGTGCGATTCGTGCCTGTCGGATCGCCGGTCTGCGCCATGAAGTCCTACGGTGCGATGAGGTGAGGTGCACTTCTCCGCGCCGACTTTGGTGGGGCAGGGGGCGGCAACCCTCGCGACGTCTAAGGCAGGAGCCCAACGGCATTCGCAGTGCAAGGCCCGGTGCGCGTGGGTGAGCGGCGTGTGAAGTCCTTAATCACGCGGTGGAAGATGCAGCCGTCGTAGTAGCCCTCCATGCCGAGCTGCACGAAGTTGCGGCACGCGAGCGGCGCCTGCGCACGCCGGCGGGAGGCCCGTGGCTCGGCGCCCGAGGCCCGAGCCGCCGATAACAGCGAGCCGCTCTGCTGCCGCTTTGGTGCGCTCGGCGGCGTGGCGTGCGGTCGGGCGGCGGCAGTTGTGGCGCGCTCGGAGCTTGCACTGGCGAGAGTCGGAGGGGCGCGCTGAGGGCGGGCGCTGGTAATCGAGGTGGCGGAGGGCGTGAGCCGCCGCGCCTCTTTGCTCCACAGCTCGACATCGAGCGGCCCGAGGCTCGTGTGTAGGACGACCTTGCCGCGGGTCGACGGCTCGTTGGCGTAGACGGTGAGCTGCGTGTGGGGGCGCACGGTGGTGTCAGAGCGGGGTGGGCGCGACGCAGGGAGTGGCAATGCGCCGCACAGACGACATCGTCAAAAAAAAGAAAACGGGCGCAGCAGAAATGGTTGTGCCCTCTCGCGTTGCTCGCTCGCCCGTGCGGAGGGCATGGCCGCGGAGGAGGCGAGTGCGCGCTGCCAAGCCTTCCACAGACAGCCTCTTGGGCAGACTGAGGGTCGGCTTTGCGTGGCGTAGCCCGTGCGCTGCGCTGCGCATACCTTTTTTGGGACCCATCGCTCCCGCGTTCCACACAGTGAGCCGGCTCTGCTCCACAGCAGGGCATGCCTGACTGGCTCCTGCTAGCCGTGCGTCCTGGTGGCATCCATTGCCAGCTCAGGTAGCCTCAGAAGGTCGCCTCGCGCACAACTCGGCGCCGCACAGCACCGCTCCGCGTTACTACCGAGTTAGTATCGTCGACCCACAGAGACTGCTCTTCTGTAGGTGGAGCCGACAAACGCCGGCCGGGTCGGTCCCGCCGCCCCCATCGCCGCCGCCGGGGCGGCGGCGGCCTCGGCGGACCATCCGGCGCGCCGCGCGCCCGACGGGGAGGTGTTCACCACTCCTGGCTCCTCACCCCGCCACGCCTTCGTGCAGACGCCGTGGCACCCGCCTCAGGCGCCGCTCGGACTCGGTTGACGGCCGCCCAAGTGCTTGGCTCGTGCCCAGCCGACCGGCAGGCGATGCCCACTCGCTGCTAGGCTAATCCCGGGCTGTCAAGCGGCGGTGTGGTGCCGTGAAGGGCAGCGGTGCCATCACACTCATTCCGAGCAGTGTTCGCTTTTGTCGACAAAAATTGCTCTGACGTGATGGTCATCGGAGGAAAAGGCGGTGCTGGCGATGAAGCCGGCCGCAAGCACACACATGATCTTGATGTATGAAACGCGGCGGACACACACCTCACGCATCTGAAAGAAAGAAAGAAAACAGACAACCCAAGGGAGGGATGGGAGAACGGCACGCCGCCACCACACAGGGATTTTAAGGAGAGGAGTGTGATGCGCTAGCCGTCGCCTACCCTAGGGAGTCTGCCTCTTCCTATCTCTCTTCGCAGTCTCTCTCCGATTCTCGCTTCAACCTTCGTGCCACCTCGCGGCCGTCCCACTCTCGTCGCTCTCTCCCTTGTCACTTCCTCCTCTGTCGCGTCGTTCTCTTCTGTCTCGTCCTGCGGCGCCGCCGCCTGCCGGTCCCTTGTTCTCGCGGCTTCTTTCGCCTTTCGGCGCAACTCCGTCCTCCTGCTCCTCGCGGCGTATCCTGGCCCCTCGAGTCTATCGAGCTCCCCTCGCGCAAGGACCACATTTCTGACTCCCACTCCGAGCATTTGCCTACAGGTCATGTTGTTACCTCACGCATCTCTCTCGAGCCCACATGCACCCCGATTTGTTTTTCGTCTTCGCTAAATAAATCGGCCGCACTTCAGCTGGCCGCATATTCGGTCGGCGCCTCGCGGCCTTGCGCTCACACGTGTCCGGGACGCTTAGGCTTTAATCACGAGCGCATGATTGCTGCGATCCACGCCGCGCGGAGGCGCAAGCGCGAGGCCGCTGAGAAGGCCGCCACAGCAAGGACGTCAGCTGTGGGCTCGGACGTCGACTGCTCGGACGCCGAGAGCGTTACTCTTGAGGAGAGCACCCACAGCACGGCAAGATCTGTCCCCGCCGACTCGAACACCAAGCTGAGGTGGGAGGAAATCTCCCTCCCGCCGCCTCGGTCGATCTGCTTCTGCCTCCCGCGCCAGCTCGACGTCTTCCGCTTCTACATTAGCCAGCCCGTCCAGATTCTGACCGCCGTCCTGATCATCTCCAACTTCCTGTTCAACTGCGCAGAGAAGGTCGGCTGCCTTCACGGACCTCGCATCGGCTCTTTCACGGTGGCTACGCTGGCTAACCATTACTTCCGCGCCCGCAGGAGTGGGACCCTTATGCCGAGCAGTTGCGGCCGGCGCTCTGGAAGTGGAGCGAGTTCACCTTCAACACGCTCTTCCTCGTCGAGTTACTGGTCAACTTCTATGGGCTCGCCTTTGCCTTCTGGCGCCACAACTGCGGCTGGAACTGTTTCGACCTCCTCGTCGTCTCCATCGGCTGCGTCGGCATGGCAGAGGCCATCGGCGGCGCCTTTATGCCGCCGCAGCTCGCGCTCGTCCGCAACCTTCGGGCCTTTCGCATCTTTCGCCTCTTCAAGCGCGTCAAGTCGCTCAACAAGATCTTCTCCTCGTGCGCCTGCAGCCTCGCCGCCCTCCCGCCACCACCCTCCCAGCCTCCAGTTCTCCCGCCTCTCCTCCCACCCTCCAGTACTCCCGCCTCTCCTCCCGCCCTCCAGTACTCCCGCCTCTCCTCCCGCCCTACTGCTCTCTTCCCCGCCGGGCCACACCTCGCGCCAAAAACGGCGCCGCTGCACCGTTGCGCAGACTCGGCAAGGCGATCCCCGGCGTCTTCAACGCATTTCTGATCACGATCATCGTGATGTGCATCTACGCGATTCTCGGCGTCGACTTCTTCCACCTCACCGGCGATGACGGCGGCATCACGACGTACAACGAGAATGTGCGGCGCGGGCTCTGCAATGAGACCGAGGACGGCCGCACGGTGTACGTGGACGATGGCAACGACTATCTCGCCGGCGCGGACTGCTCCCTCACCCAGACCTTCTCCTCCGAGACGGCGCGTGGCTTCACGTACGGGGAAGAGTACTACGGCACCTTCTTCCGCGCGCTGTACACACTCTTCCAGGTGCTGACCGGCGAGTCGTGGTCCGAGGCGGGCAGCATGTTGCCCTCCCGAAGCTTTCCGTGACACGTCCACGACATGTCCGAGACGTGTCCATAGGCGGTCGCGCGGCCCGCCATCTTTAGCGGCGACACAGGCGTCGGGCCGGCCCTCTTCTACGTCTCCTTCATCATCGTCTGCCAGATCGTCCTCATCAACGTCGTCGTCGCGGTGCTGCTCGACAAGATGGTGGAGGAGGAGGACGCGCCCGACCCGGAGGAGATGAGCGTGATTGAGAAGCTGCACCAGATGCTCGCGCAGGAGTACGGCCAGCTGCAGGCGCTCTTCCGCAGCTGGGACGACGACGGCTCCGGCACCGTCTCGAGGCGCGAGTGGTGCAAGGCGATCCAGAGCCTGGGCTACCGCGGCCCGCGAAGCGTGCTGCACCAGATCTTCGACTCGATGGACCGCGACAAGTCGGGCGAGCTCGACTTCGCTGAGATCGACAAGATTCTCAACCCGAAGCAGGCGCGCAAGTCGAGCCTCGGCCAGCCGCAGCCGAAGCGCTCGGTCAAGGATGAGGTGACGCTGCTGCGGGACGACGTGGCGCGGCTCACGATGCTCGTCGAGGAGATGTGCGCGAAGCGGAAGAGCAGCGGCGAGTTCCTCTCTCCGCGCGAGCCGACGGAGCCCCCGCCCGCCGGCACGATCCCGCTCGCGCGGCTGCAGGACGCGGCGGAGCTGCCCGACTCTCCCGCCGAGAGCGAGAGCGGGTCGCGCCGCCGTCGCGTCTTTGCCTAGGCGCTAGGCGGAGCACGAGCGGTGCGCGAGCCTGCAAGCCGACCGAGGCGGGGAAAGGGGGAGCGGCTGTCGGTCACAGATAGATTTTGGGGATAGACACAGCTCATTCGGCTTATTTATTTTCTCTTGAAGAATCACCGCACCGTCCCCGCCGCCGCCGTCCCCGCCACCACCGAAGCAAATGACCGCGGGGATGCTCGGTGCGTCTCTCTCATGAATACGAACCACAACAGTTGGTTTGTGGAGAGGCTTATCCTACCTTTTACCACGTATTACGCAACTTCGAGCGCTATAATGGGGAACGCCCAGGGAGAGAGGGGCGGCTATATCATGCGACATGCAACGCCCATCTCTGGCTCCTTCTTATATCATGCGACATGCAGAGTCTTGTCTTCTCGAGCTACGCCACGGCCCGGCAAGTTTTGAGGGCCGATAGCGCAAAGGAGAGTGAGAATGGACGGCCATTAACATGGGGGCACCTCCTTCGCGATGCGCAAGGACAGAGAGCCTGCAGCCGGACCATTGATCGGGCAGGTATACCCATTCGGCACGGGGGAAGAATGCCATCCTTGAGGTAGTCCCGCGTCCTGTTGAAGCAATCCCAGGCGCCGTAGCCTTTCTTTTGGAAGTCTCGCGTACCGGGTTGGCCCGCGTTCACGGTGGAGGGCAGGCCATGGCGATAGCCTTGCCAGTTCATCAAAGCGCCGTTAGGAAAGAAGCCCCGCATTTTCTGCGCCGAAGTGTAGGTCGTTGCGGGGTCATGAAACTCTCCAATGATGAGCGGCTTGACCCTGTCGAGCGATGATCCGTAGGAAGGCACCGGACGTGGGAGGTTCGGCGCCGACGCCACTGCAATCAGATTGCCGTGCCAAGAGGGTGTTTCGCACGGAGTTCCGTCCATAAGCGCGCAAGATCGTTGGGATTCATCCGCCCCGCCATGTCCACAGATCGCACAAGGCCTACAGGTGGCGTGCTGCTGCACGTCCTCGAGCCGGAGGGCAACGGGCAGGCCGCGTCTCTCCACGCCCACGCCTCTCGGAGTTTGGGGCGCGCTCTCGCGTGGGGAGCGCTGGGGACGCGTCTATCTCGGGCATCGGCGATCGGAGTTTCTTTTTCGTTTTATCTGTGATTAGAGCGTATCTGCGGGGTGTTCTGGCCATGCTCTGGGGCCGAGCCTTGGCGAGACTGCGTCAGCTGTTTCCACAACTTACCTCGCCAGCCTACATGCACACTGTCCCGGGAGAGGGACCTCCGCACCTCTCTATACACGACGTACACCGGGGGCTGTAGCGCGGAGAGCCGTAGTAGACGGGTACTGAGTACAGGTGGGACACGCAGTTCACCACAGGAGGCCGTTGCAGCCTTTTCTTCATGCCCGCCGCTGGCCCTTCACAGGTCGCCTAGTCCACTCGTACGCGACCGCAGCCACGGTGGCCGCGCACCGCACCCGGTGCGCCGTCCGCGTCGCCGTGCTGGCGCCGACGGTGTACTCTGTGTTGGCTGCGGCCGCCGCCTCGTAGGCGACGGCACAGAGGAGCACCGAGCGGTCGGCCGAGCCGCCGAGAGCCGCGCTCGCGAGCATGAGCCCGTATGCTCCCAGGAGCGCGGCCACGTGCCGGCCCCACATCGCCGGGATGTCCGAGATGGGAGCGCCTCCGAGCGACTCTCCGAGCTGCAGCGCGGCGAGCGCCTGCTGACGAGCGGCGTACTGGAAGGAGAAGAGGAGCGAGAGCAGGGACAGGCAGGCGAAGACGGCGCGGCTGCCGGCGGCGAGCATATCCTCGATTAGCACACGTACTCTGCTCGCGCACCAGCCTAGCTAGTGCCGCGACATGCGCCGCTAGAAAAGAATTCTTACCGGTGAATCTCACAGCAGACTGGCACGAACCACGAACCGAACCTAGTTAGCGGCTTGCGGCCGTACTGGCGCGCACTAGAAAAGAATTTTACACGGGCTCCCTCGCACAACACTGGGCACGGGACTGGCTCGCACTGGCACTAACACAAGAATTTTGCAATTCTGGGCACAACACTGTGTTACTCTCTGATTCCAACACTGGGCACGGGACTGGCGCGCACTGGCACTAACACAGGTACACCACGGGAGCCGCCTATTTTACAACAAAACTAACACGAGGAGCAGACCGCGATCCCGCGGAGCCCTCCGCGGCGAGCTCCTCTGCGAGGTCGCGCCAGTTCCTGTTGTGGACCACCGTCGTGAAGCGCCGCTGCGCCTGGTGTAGGAACTCGTGCTTGGACGTGAACTCGGCGAGGGGCAGCAGCTCCTTGGCCTCGACGAGAGTATGCGGCCGGAAGCGCGAGAGCGCCTTCCTCTCAGCCGGCTCTGGCGGCTCTGCGGAGGCGCGCAGCTTCTTGCCCTCGTCGGGCTCGTCCCACGGCTCCACCTCGACGTCCGGGGGCCTGCCCGTCGTGCCACCGACCAGGTCGAAGTACTCCGCCTTCGTCTTGTCGTCCCACTCCTCCACGTCGCCGTGATCTTGCCGTGCTCCTCCTTGAGCCTGTTGTGCGTCGCCGCACGCAGCTCGTCGAAATCGGAGCCCGGCGCCTTGCTCACGTCAAGGTCGCGGAAAGGAGCATGCAGCTGGCGCATGGGCCCGGCGACGAGCGCCCAAGTGCCAATCCACGCCGGCTCACGAATGTCCACGGCGCTGGTGAGGCCCATACCGCCCATCTTGACGGGCAGGCGCGCCTGCCTGCGCGCCCGCTCCCAGCGCTTGCCGGCGGCGCCGACCCGTGCCCCGCCGACGAGCTTGTATAGCGCCGCGTCAATCAGCTCGTCGTGCCTCTCCGCTGCCGGGAGGGTGACCGACGGCGGCATGGCGCGCAGAAAGAAGGTGAGCGTCGTGTTGCTGCAGAAGCGCAGCAGGACCTGCATCACCTGCTGCGCCGTGTGGATCTCCTTCGTGTCGCGCAGCTTGAGGATGCCCTCGAGCGGCTTGAGCGCCCTCTCGACCCTCGCGACGAGCTCCGTCTTCCTCCACTCGTCGTCTCCGAGGAACGGAAAAGAAAACGCAGTGGACCAACGGTCACCCGGCATCCTCACCTCGCCCCAGCGGGGCAATGCCGCGGCCTTGGGGCCGCCTCCTCTTCACCGGCGGCGAGGAAGGCGACGCCACCCTCCGCAAGGTCGACCTCACCGAAGGCGAGCACATCGTCGGTCGCCGGCCAGGCGCGGCGTCCCTCGCTGCTGCTGCCTCTGCCCGGCCGGCCACGCCCTTGCCGCGGCCGCTGCCGCAGCCCCCGCGCGCCGCAGCCCAGGCCGCCGTCCTTCTCGCCACTGTCGGGAGAGCGCTGCCGCCCCTCCCGCCGGCGGCGGCGCCGCCGCCTCCGCCGCCGCGCCGCCGCCCGCGCGCGCGACGGCCCTCCCTCCCTGTTGCCCGCCCCAGAGTGCCTCGTCGTCTACACCGACAACCGCATCTCCAGCACCCACTTCAAAATCTCGCTCCGCAACTCGAGCGACCTCGGGCGCGTGGCGTCACCGCCACCGCCACCGCCACCGCTGCTCGCCACCGCCACCTGCTCGCCTCCGCCCTCGCCGCCCTCCGCCGCCCTCCACCGTCATCACCGCCGCCATCGCCGCGCTGTCACACGCGCGCCGCCGCCGCCCAGGAAGCGCGCCTTCGACGTCTGCCTCGAGGACTGCTCCGCGAACGGCACCTACCTCAACGCTCAGCTCGTTGGCAAGGGTCACACTCTTTGCACGCTCGTCTCGCTGCGTCTTGCGGGAGAGACGCCTCACTCACTCTGCTTCACCCCGTGCCAACAGGCAACTTTTGCTTCCTGTTCCAGCGCGACGAGATCGGGCTGCTCAAGCCGTGCGGCGGTGACGAGCAGCCGCCCTACGCCTACATCTTCCACGACCTGACCGGCGGCTGCAAGCCTCTCTAGATGCTGCAGAGAGAGGCGGCAGAGAGAGGCGGCAGAGAGAGGCGGCAGAGAGCCGCGCCCAGGCCGAGCACTCGAGATCGCCGCGAGCTCAGCGGGACCTTCTCGAGAGACGTGCCCTGCACCCTTCTCTACTCGCGGCCGTCGACGTCTCGCGATGCGCTGACTGCGCCGCACTGTGCCGTGCTCCCACGCCTCCAGCCCACTGCCGCTGTGACGCAGGCACCGCCGACCACTTCCCCTTTCTTGCCACCGACGCGACGCCGCAGCGCGCCGCCAAGGCGGTGCCGCCGCTGTCCGTGTCGGGGCTGAGCAGCTCTGGCCCGACGCCCCTCCCGACGGAGCGCACGTCCGCCTCCTCCTCCTCCAACGGCACCGCCAAGAAGAGGCTCGGCGGCATCTTTGGCTCGCGAGCCAGCTCGCGGTGCGACACAGACGAGGCAGCGACGCCGCCGTCGGAGCAGCACTCCCTCGGCGTTGGGGGTCCGCGGCGCCCTTGGACCGCGTCTGCACTGGTGATTGAGCAGTTGCCAAGGAGCGAGTAGGCGCCGCCCCAGTGGCGGAGGGCGAATCGTCTTCCTCAGGTCTTGTTGATTCGTGGTTCATTCAGAGTAGGCGCGGAGTCCGTGGGGGAGGAGTCCTTGGACCTGGTCTCTCGCCAGCTCGCCATGCTCAGCGACCCGAGCCCGACAGGCGAGGGGCGAGATCGGGGCGAGATCGGGGCGAGATCTGGGGGAGATCGGGGCGAGATCGAGGCGAGATCGGGGAGGCGAGATCGGGGCGAGGTATAGAAGCGGGTGGCGCCACTCTCCCATGCACACGCGCCCGCCCACACGCCGCAGCCGTGGGGGGCATGAGGAGCGCCTCTTCACAGCCTGCGCTGTGAACAGGCATGCACACACTCAACCACACGCTGCAGCGCGGCTTCAAGTTCCAGGCCGACGAAGTGTGAACAGTCAAGGAGTTGTTAGTTACTCATTAAGTAGTTCGCTTCAAGCTCCAGGCCGACGCGATCGCCCTCGGCGGCGTCACGGCCTTCATGGACGTTATCGGCGCGACGATGGCCAAGCCGAAGAAGACAGCGATGGACTTGCAGGCCCGTCGAGGGGGGGGTCGCTGTTCCGTGTGGCCTCTCCACGCGGTAGCAACTCCTCATGGTTCCTGACTTGCAGGTTCTCGACATCGCGCTGGACATGCTGCTCACCACCAGCGCTTCGGAGGAAGGCGACGAATTGATCAATGGCGAGGAGGGCGTGAGTTGATTAGCGACCTCGCGACTCACGGGGGCTGCTAATGAGCAGGCGCCTCCTCGCTGCTTGACGAGGAGGGCGGCTTCGACAAGTCGTCGCCATAGAAGCAGACTCCCCTCCCTCCCCCCATTCGCTCCCCGTGTCTCCGCGTGTCAATCGTGCCCTGAAAGAGGCGGACTGCGCCTTCTTGTCCTCCGACCGGCCCCTCGAGATCGCCCGAGATCACCCGAGATCGCCCGAGATCGCCCGAGATCACCCGAGATCACCCGAGATCACCCGAGATCGCCCGAGATCACCCGAGATCACCCGAGATCGCCCGAGATCACCCGAGATCACCCGAGATCACCCGAGATCACCCGAGATCACCCGAGATCACCCCAGATCAGGCTCGTCTCCGTCCTCTCGAGCCCGGCGCAAAAGACGCGCTCCAAGGCGCTGCAGCTGCTCGCCTGCATGGTACTCCCCCCCCCCACCGCCGCGCCGCTCGCCTCGAGCCTCGCCGCCGCTTCACAGCGACGGGTGTGAACAGGTCGTCTACACTGACAAGCCTCTCGTCGAGTCCTCGCTTCGCCGCGCCAACCGGTAATGACTAATTAATGATTGACGATGATTAATTAGTGGTAGCTGCGCCGCGCCAACCGGTGCGGCGGCGCGAGCCCTCCCCTCTGATGAATAAGTAGGAGCTCAGTAGTTCTTGATTCATGAGCGCCGACACGGACAGGTACGGCGGCGCGAGCCCCGGCGTGCTGCTTGCCTCTTTGCTGCGCGACAAGGAGGGGGCGCTCCCGGAGGCACAGACATGCACAGACGTGGTCACGCTGCTCAACGCTCTGGTCGCGTGCTCCGGTGCCCCCCCGCCGGCCTCGTCCTCTCTTTCAGCGCGGGCGGCGGAAGGGCTCATCCGTTAGCTACCGGCTGGCAGGTAACCCCGCCGCGCTCGTCGACGAGCTCTCCAGCGCCGGCGTCGACGACGCGCTCACCGAGATCGAGCCGCTCTTCTCCTCCAGCCCCGACCTCGCACTGCAGGTGGTCGACCAGCACACTTCATCCTTGACTCACAGCTCATCACTGAATACGTAATCACGGCTCGTCACACCACATCAACCTCCCCGCCCCCCCCCCGCAGGTCGACAGATACGGCGCACAAAAGGCGAAGCTCGCTGGCGTAAAGCTCGGTCCGCCGCCGCCGCCGCCGCCGCCGCCCGGGCCGCCGCCGCCGCTCGAACCGCCGCCGCTCCCGCCTCCGCCGCTCGCGGCCCCGCCGCTCGCGCCGCCGCCGCTGCCCGGGGCCGCGCCTCCGCCGCCGCCGATCGCGGCGCCGCCGCTGCCCGGCGCCGGGCTAACACCGCCCCCACTGCCGGGGAAAGGGCTGCCCCCGGTGGCGGGCGCGCCGGCGCCGCCGCCGGCGGCGCCGGCTCCCGGAAAGGGTCCGCCGGCGCCTCCGCCTCCTCCACCCGGCGGCGGCCCCGCGCGACCCACCGGGCCGCAGCTGCGCGCGTTGCACTGGAAGAAGGCGTCTGGCGGCTGGCAGAGGGGGGGCGCGGCGTGTTTCTTCTTTGACGCGTGTTTGCCTCTTCAGGTGCGGCCGCCTGTGCAAGCGGGCGCTCCCCCGGGTGAGTCGTTGTTACGCCCGCGTATTCCTTTTTGTAGGTGCAGCCGTTTGGCAGGTCGCTCGGGGCCTTGACTTGTTTCGTTTTGGGCGAGCGTGTTTCTTTTTGTGTAGGTGCAGCCGTCTGGGAAGGGGACGCTGTGGTCCTCGCTGCCGAAGGCGCCCCCCATCGACGAGGCGGCAGTGCGCGAGCGCTTCACAGCCACGCCGTTGCAGGTGGTACTCAGTCCTCAGATTGGATCTGAACAGGCGGCATTGCGCGAGCTGTTCACTGTGAAGGCCGCGGGCGGGCAAAAGCCGACGGCGGCCCCGGCCGGCGGCGGCGCGGGCGGCAGTGCTGTCAAGAAGGAGCAGCAGCCGGCGTTGCTCGACGTGAAGCGCTCCAACCAGATCCAGATTGCGCTCGCGAAGTTCAAGGGGCGCGGCATCCTCGCCGCGGCGCCGCTCTCTCTCGAGCAGCGCGGCGCGTGGACGCCGTTCTTGTCTGGAGTGGTGTCTCTCTTGTGTTTGAAGGTGCTCGCGCTGGACGAGACGGTCCGCAAGCCGAGGGCGGCATCGGTGACACACACCCACACCGTGGCAGTGGCGCGTGACGTGTCCGAGACGCGCGCCCCGCAGGTGCTCAAGCAGGACGACATCGCGCGGCTGCGAGAGTGCTCGCCCAGTGCCGAGGAGGTCGAGATGCTCTCTCCGTTCGGCGAGGACCCGCGTCTCAAGGAGACGGTGCGGGGACGAGTCTATTGTAGTTGTAGTGTTGCATTGTGTTGTATTGTATTGCACCCCGCGTCTCGAGGAGACGGTGCGGGGACTAGTCTCTTGTAGTTGTAGTCTTGCATTGTGTTGTATTGTATTGCACCCCGCGTCTCGAGGAGACGGTGCGGGGCGCAGCCGAGATGCGCAGCATGAGAGACAGCCGAGATGTCGCCGAGCTACAGCGAGATGTGGCCGAAGAACCGCGCCGGAAGGAGTTGGTTCGGCGGGGGGTGTTACTCGGCTGTATCTGGGCTGTATCTCGGCTGTATCTCGGCTGCAGCTCGGCTGCAGTTCGGCTGCATTTCTCGGCTGCGTCTCTCGCCTTGGAAGGTGTGGTGGGGCCGTATCTCCCCACATCTCCCCACATCTCCCCCCATCTCGCCTCGCAGGTGCGGTGGGGCCCTGCCGAGTCCTTCCTGCTAGACATGGCCGCCGTGCCGCGCCTGAGCCAGCGGCGAGATCTAGTCGAGATCACAGCCGAGATACAGCCGAGATACAGCCGAGATACAGCCGAGGTACAGCCGAGGTACAGCCGAGATATACAGCTTGAGCCCGCGGCGACATCTCGGCTGCATCTCGGCTATATCCCGGCCGAGCCTGCTTCCTGTCGAAGCCCGCGTATCGACGACGTCTCTCACGCGCGGCTACCCCCCTGCCAAGGCTCGCCTGCTTCCTGTCGAAGCTCACGTTCGAGCAGCGGAAGAAGGACGCCGAGGCGCAAGTCGAGGCGATCAACAAGGCGGTCCAGTGCCTGCGCGGCTCGAAGACGCTGCCTCTCCTCCTCGCGCTCGTGCTTCAGGTGGGCTGAGCCATCCCCGTCACACACCTCCGACACACCTCCGACACACCTCCGACAACTCCGAGACCCAACCGAAACCTTCCGAGACACCTCCGAGACACCTCCGACACACCTCCGACACACCTCCGACACACCTCCGACACACCTCCGACACACCTCCGACACACCTCCGACACACCTCCGACACACCTCCGACAACTCCGAGACCCAACCGAAACCTTCCGAGACCCTTCCGAGACACCTCCGAGACACCTCCGACTCTCTGCCTCTCCTCCTCGCGCGCATGCTGCAGGTGGGCAACGCACTCAACGCTGGCACGCCGCTGCCGCCGCACGACACTTCCCGGACACGTCGAGGACACGTCGAGGGACACGTCCTGGACGTGTCGCGTAGGCACGCCGCGCGGCGCCGCCGCCGGCTTCACCTCTGAGGCGCTCGGCGAGGTGGCCGAGGCGAAGAGCGTCGACAGTACGCATCGAGGTGTGCCGCTGTTTCCCCCCAGGCGCTCGGGAAGCTCGCTGAGACGAAGAGCACCGTCTCCGACGCGCGGCCCGCGCAGACGTCGCTGCTGCACTACGTCGCCCGCTGATAATGAATCATTACTTAATCATAATGACTTAATTAATTAGGTCGCTGCTGCACTACGTCGCCCGCGTCGCGCCGGCCGAGAGCAGCAAGCAGCTGCGGCTGGAGCTGCGCGACCTCGAGGAGGCGGCGGAGACCTCGGCGTATCTCGGCCGGCTCTCGGCGCTTCCGCCCGGTCCCAACTCGCTCACTCCTCGGGTCGCCTCGCCGCGCAGGCTGCGACGCTCTCGTCCGCCGGCGTGGCCGAGGAGCTCGACGGGCTCTGCAAGGCGATCGGCGAGCCTCTGTCGGTGAGTCGACTCTAGCGTGAGGAGTCGTTCACACTCCGAGACTAGGAGCTCGACGTGCTCGGCAGCGAGCTCTCGAGCCCAGAGTATGGCGGCAAGGGCGACGGGTTCGTCGCCGCGCTCGGCAGCTGGCGCGGGGCGGCGGCCAAGAAGGCGGAGACTCTCTGTCTACCCACGGCGACACCATCTCGGGTCCTGTCTCTGACTCTGTCCCTGGCCCTGGCCCCTGGCCCTTCCTGCAGGTGGAGGCCCTCCGCGCTAGGGTGGAAGGCATGCTCTCCGGCCTGCAGCAGCTGCACGCCTACTGGGGCACGCGCGCGGTGCACGTTGCGACCAAAGGCTTGTGAGCGGCGTCTCTTCACACGCAGAGGTGTGAACAGGCACGCCGCGCGACCGGAGTGTCTCCCATCGTCTCTGGACGGCGTCTCTTCACAGCCGGAGGTGTGAACAGGCGAGGCGTACGTCGCGTCGGAGGCGGAGGCGCTGCTCTCGCGCGTCCACTCCTTCGCCGCCTCGTTTGGGAAGGCGTGCCCCCGAGATCACCCGAGATCACCAGAGATCACCCGAGATCACCCCAGATCACTCGAGATCACCCGAGATCACCCGAGATCACCCCAGATCACTCGAGATCACCCCAGATCACCCGAGCTCACCCGAGATCACCCGCCTCGCCTCGGCAGGCGTGCCGCGACAATGAGCGCGAGGACCACATGCGCAAGAAGCGCGCCGAGGCCAAGGCGGCCGCCGCCAAGCGCGCGCAGGCCAAGGGGCCCTCGCGGCCCTCCCAGGCGGGGGCGGCCAAGCCGGCCGCGCGCGCGCAGCCGGCCGCACGCAGCGCCATGGGCAACATCCAGATGTCGCTCAAGCGGGGCGAGTTTGAAGACATGAAGAAGCTGCAGTCCGAGCTGCAGACCAAGATCCAGTCGCGCCGGACGTACACCGCGGGCGCCCACGGAGGCCGCTAGCTCCTGGCTCCCGGCGCGGCGGCCGTCAGGCGCGAGAGGCTCAGCTCGCCACCTCTCCTACGTGCGCCCGGCCGCCCACTCTGCCTGCGGCCTTCACTTTTCACTCCGCTGAGAGATCGTCTGCGTTTCCGTGTGGTGCGCCTCTCGCCTTGTCGCCTTCCGAGAGCAGCTGCGACAAGAATTGCGCAGCAACAGGTAACGCGCTCTAAAAAGAAAAAAGATATGAAAAAAAACTCCAGTTTTGGGGGCCTGTCCCTCGCTCCGAACTCCGATTACGCCGCCGCAACCCAGCCAAAATGCATAGGCAGGACACACGGGTGGCTGCATAGCCTTCACCAACCCCTCATGTGCGCCCCTCATGTTAGCGCGCGGCTCTGCTCGCGCACGAAGCGGATGGACTTGAGCAGCCGGTGCACTTTCGCCTCCTCCTGCGCCGCCGTGCTCTGCTGCGGTGGCGGCGGTGCGGCCGGCCGCGGCGCGTCGCCGTCCACCGCCTTGCCTTCCACGGTGCCCCCACCGTCCGGCGCCGCAAGGTTTGCCCGCTTGGTGGGTGGGGTCATGTCCTCTGCAAGGTGGTCGAGCTCGCCCATGCGGCGCTTTCCGGCGGCCCTCGAGCTTGGTGCCGTCCTCGGAAGGTGGCCGTCGCTGCTTCCGCCACTGCCACTGCCGCCGCCATTGCTCTCGGCACCAGCGCCGCTGCGACCGCTGCCTTGCGAGGGCGCCCCCGGGGTGGACGGTGCCGTTGCCTCGCAATCGCCGCACGCATTGAGGGCGAGCGCGCTCCCGGCACCACCACCAGCGGCCGACTCGCCCGCGCCGCTGCTACTGCCTGTGCCGGGCCCGCGGCTGCTGCTACCTGTGCCAGTGCCCGACGCCGCGGCTGGAGCGGCTGGAGGAGGGCCACCGCCGCCGTTGATCAGGTGGAGCTCTTCCTCGAGTGTGCCCTTCATCAGCAGCTGGGCGACGTGGACGGACCCGGTGGCGCCCATGCGGTAGGCGCGCGCGACCAGCTGGTGCTCGACCGCTGGGTCCCACACCTTTGCGTGTTCACGGCAAGAGCAGCGGTCGTGAAAAAGAAGGGGAAGGACAGGGCGAAACGTGGTGGGGTGGCTGTGCACGCGTTGCTCTCGTGCTCTCTAGGTGGGTGGGCGTCCCCCCTCAACACACACAGAACACACACAGCACACCTGATCGGCGAGGAAGATGTGCGTGAGCATGGACAGGTCGAGGCCGTGCGAGCCGTCGCGCGTGAGGAGCAGCACGAAGCAGTCGACCGGGCGCGCCTCCCACGGCGCGGCGTCAGGCATGCGCGCACCGCACTTTCGGAAGTTGGACAACCGGCCTCCCACCCACGGCCCGAAGCCGCCGGTGAGCGGGGAGCGCACGCGCGTCTCAATCGGCATGCCGACCGTCCACACGGTGCCCTGCAGGAAGCCGAGCTCCCCCACTCGCCGTGCGTCCTCCTCGCTGACCGTGACGGAGAAGCTCGCCTGCCCGTCGGCGAGGTGCATGCCGGGAGGAGCGTGCTCGGCGGAAATCTCGACGACGAGATGCCGCCCGTAGCAGCGCGTCTCGGGGAACTCCACCTCGCGCCCGCCCGCCGCGCGTGCGCCGTCGTCGTGCCGCGTCGGGCACTGCGCGCACCGCCAGTAGCGCACGCGGCCGGAGCGGAACTTGTCGAGCTCAGAGTTGCGCCAGCGACCCCAGAACTGGCTGATGGCATCGTCGCCGAAGCGCAAGTACAGAAAGTGTCCCAGCTGGTCGAGGGTCTTGCGCCGCTCCGAATACACCGCCACGCGGACCGGCCGGCTGTCGTGGCCCGGCGGGTACGGCCGGCCCGCCGCGTGCGCCGCGCGTGCCTCGCGCTCGACGCGCCGGAGCTCGGCGATCCCATCGATGATGTAACTCGCCTTTGTATGGCTGAGCGCTCCGTTTCCGCCGCCGCCGCCGCCGCCGCCTCCCGCTGTGCTCGAGGCCGCCTCTGCGCCCGACGAAGACGATGTGGGCACCGTCGACAGCGTGGTGCTGCCGCTGGGCGCCACAGCCGAGAGCGACGACGGTCCGGCACCAACGCCGGCCTTGATGCGCGTCTCCTCCCGCCGCTGCTTCGCATACGACTCGGCGAGCGCGCGCGCCTCCGCCTCGCGCAGCGTCTCGGCCCACTGCAAGTCGAACCCGGGCTGCAGGTACGCAAAGCCGTCGAGCGGGTGTGCCTCCGTCGGCACCTTGGGCGCTTGGTGGGAGCAGCGCACGTCGTCACACTTTGGGCACGTGTTGTAGCGCACCGGCGGCAGAGCAACCTCGCACACGGGGCACGCACTGAGCGGCCCGCTCGCCTCGACACTCGCCTCGACGCACTCGGGGCAGACCAGGTGGCCGCAGAGTGGGAAGACGAGCTGCAGCAGCAGCGGCAGCGAGCACTTGTCGCACGGCAGAGGCTCGCCCGCCTGCGCGGCGTCCATGAAGGCGCGGCAGCGCGCGACCGCGTGCGGCGGCGCGTGGTAGCGCTCGTTGAGCCACTCGACCGCCTCCGAATAAAACTCGGGCGAGAGGGTGGCGACCTGCTTGCCGCCGCCGTTGCACGTCAGCCGGATGTTCTCGATGGCCGCGCGCGCAGACTTCTTGTTGGCGTGGTGCAACAGCGACACGTCCGCACCCGCACCGCGCTCGGCGCCCTCGAGCGACGTGAGCACGATGTTGGCGCGGATGTAAGAAACGAGGCTGTTGTAGCTCAGCCGCTCGCTGGGCGACGTCTCGAGGACGACGGTCGCGCGCCTCGGAGGCGGCACCGAGATGTGCCGCTTCAGGTGCCGGATCATGCGCGGGGCGAGGAAGCCGACGACGGCCGCACGCGCGGCGGCGTGCTCGGCCGTTTGGGAGGCGGCCGAGCCAGCGCCGGTACGGAGGAGCCGGCGTGCGAGCGGCGGCCACTCGGCGCGTGCAGGGTCGCCGAGCACGCCGAGGAGCGATCCGAGGGAGCTGAGGCCGTCGGCGTCGGACGTCTCCTTTGCAGGAGTCCCCGTGAGCAGCCACCGACGCTCCGCCGGCAGCGCTTGAAGCAGCAGCTTCGTGTGAGTGAGGGCGCCGCCGCCGAGGGAGTGGCCCTCGTCGCAAACGACGCGGAGCCACTTGACCGCGCACAGCACGGAGGCGCCGGCCGCGTGCCGCTGCTCGAGCGAGAGACGCTCGGCGGGCAGCACGACGACGGACGCCGCCGCCAGCCGCTCCGCCGACCACAGACTGGCGAGGTCGCCGAGACGCCCGCCGCCGCCGCCACGCCGCCCGCCGCCGCCGCCGCCGCCGCCCGAGTTGCCCCTTTGGTCGGCGAACGGGTCGATCAGGACCTCTCCGGGTAAGCCGCCGCCGTCGGCCTTCACGTGCCACTCGAGCTGCTCGCGCCAGTGCTGCACCTGCGAGCTGAACGCACCAGCCTCGGGGCGGGAATGCGGTCTCGTGCAGTGCACTCGTAGCACCGCGTGAAGAGGAATACAGTGCATAGAGCCAAATACGGTCGAACTTAGCGGGATCCTAGCCCTCTCGAGCGCCGGTTGGAATACACGACTGCGTACTCCGCTTCTAGGCTGCTGCACGAGCGGGCGCGGCGCGATCACCAGCGTCGCACGCGAGCGCCGCGGTGGCGGCGGCGCGTCGCCGTCGGGCGTGTGCGCGTCGAGCGCCTCGTCGACGGCGGTCCGCAGCCGCAAGGCATCCGCCACGAGCGCCGCGGCCGCCGGCGCACCCGACGGGTGGTGCGCGATTGCGGCCGCGCTCGACCAGTAGGCCCGCGCCGCGTCCGGCACCGCGCGCACCGCGGCGTCGAGGCCGGCGCGAGTAGCGAGCGTCGATATCTGCGCATCGTGGCTGATCTCGTCGAAGTCGATGGGTGGCGCGCGGCCCAAGGTTTCGGCATACTGCGGCAGTGCCGCCGCTGCACGCCGCACGCCGCGGCCGAGCAGCGCATACTCGCGCGGGCAGCTCGTGCGCACTTGCTTGAGGATGGAGTAGACGAGCTCGCGGCGGTAGAGGAAGGCGAGGCCCGCCCACTTGGCCTCGGCATTCACGCGCCGACGCTCGGCCGCGTCGGGCTGGCGCGCCGTCCACGCACCGGCCGTCTTGCAGATGAGCGCCAGCAGCGTGACCGTCTTGCCGGTGCCCGGCTCGTCGGCAAGGATGCCACCGCGTCGACTGCTGGCCTCGCCGCGCTGCAGGAACGCGACGGAGGCGCGCTGGTGCGGATAGAGCCGCAGCTTGATGCCGGGATAGGTGTGCGCGACGACGGCCGCCAACCCGGAGCACGTGCAGCCGAGCGCAGCAATTTCGTTGGCGCGCAGCCATCCAGTGAGGTTGTCGAGCACGTGCGCGTCCAGCGTGACTGGAACCATTTCCGTGTCCTCTGCCCGCGGGTCGCCGCTGGCTGCTGCTGCCCCTCGCCGCGGATGAAAAGTGAAGCCCATGTTCTCGTCAGGAGCTGGCCTGGGGACCGCTCCTAGATCCTCCAGGACCTCGTTGAGGCGCTGCGGCGGCATGCTGGACGAGAGTGTCTCGCGCCGCCTTGCGGGGAGCCATGTGTCGTAAACAAGAAAAACCTTTCCGCACCAGCCCGACGCTCACTACAAGTGACTGAAGGAAGAACCCTGTTGAACACGTCCAGTCCACGCGTCCAAGATTTGGCTGGCTCGCTCCTTCTCGAACGATGGCCAACCACACGACGGCCGCGAGCACGGCCGGTGCCGGCTCCTCTGCGGTGGCGCTGTCATGCTCCCTCGTAGTCGCTCTTGTGCCTCTCTCGTGCGTGCTCCTCCATCGTGTGAGCGAGCTCTTCCGACAGCCCAGTCGCACCAGCTGCAGTGCAGGGCTGTCGGAGCGCCTCTGCGATGCCCGCAAAATCGAGCACAGGCTACGCACGCAGGTCACATTCTCCTCCCTCGCCGTCGCGTGGGCCGCCTTCATCCTGGGCATCCCGATGTGCTACATTGTGCGCTTTGTCGGTGGCATGTGTGCAATGGATGTGATCATCTCGAGGGAGCCGCTGCCAGTGCTCGGCCTGCTGACGGTGCTGCCTCCCACGCTGGTCCTGCTAGCCTGCAGGCCCCTGGACCACGTTGGTGTCCGACTCGCAGGAGCCTTCTGCGCCATCACCCATTTCTACTATGTCGCGCACGATGTCGCCGCGTGCCAGTACACCGCCAGCCGTTGCTATAGCCTGGATCAGCCAATCTGCCTCGACAGCATGTGGGTGGGAGCCGCGGTGTCCGGGTGGGAGGCCAGCAAGCTGGCTCCGCTGCTGCTTTTGGGCCTGCTAGATAAGGCGGCCCTGGTCGCCGGCGGCGCCGTGTATATTACAGTCATCGTGCGCTCAGCGTCCACGCGAGACGCGCTGAGCAGGCTCTTCGTCACACTGCGAGTCGTCTTCCTCGTCAGCTTCGTCTCGAGCAGCGGCCAGTGGCTCTGGCTGCTCTCACACCAGACTGCGCGCTTCGGCACCAGCCATATTCACGATTGCGGCTGGTCGCACTTCGTGCGCAAGAGCTTCGGCAGCGGCTTTGGCTTGCTCTTCGCCGTCTTCCTGACCAGGTTTGCATGCGAGAGGATCGAGGGTGTCGAGCAGGCGCCGCTCACAGCCCCAGTGGATAATAGGCGTGTTCGCGGGCGTATCCATCGCTGCCTCGGTTGGAATTGGCTCCGCGCGAGCTCGCGCTCTATGGCTGCTGTCGCGTCGCTCGTCGGCAGCGGCGCAATCGAGACGGACCAGCGCTGTCGCAAAGCCATCGACACATTCCGCGCGATGCCGTGGGCGGGCCTAACCGAGGCGGATCTTTTGCTGGGTCAGGCTCCAGAAGAAGACAGGAGCGAGCCGGCGAGGCTGGGGGAGGTGGACGCTTTCATCTCGCACTCGTGGGCGGACGCGGGCGCTGAAAAGTACGAGGTTCTGCGCGAGTGGGCTGGCGGCTTCGAGGCGGAGCACGGCCGCCCGCCGCTGCTGTGGCTCGACCGCTGCTGTATTCGACAGGACGCCGTCGCGGCAAGCCTGCTCCAGCTGCCCATCTACCTGTCCGGCTGCCGCAGCTTGCTGGTGCTGCATGGGCCGACCTATTGCTCGCGGCTGTGGTGTGTGCTTGAAATATTCATCTTTGTGGCGATGGGTGGCGCGCCGGGCCAGGTTGAGGTGCTGCCGCTGCGCGGTCTTGGCGGTGGGAGGGCCCAGTGCGGCCTGGAGGGCGGCTTGGCGCGCTTCCGGCTGAGCGAGGCATCGTGCTCGCTGCCAAGCGACCGCACGCGCATGCTCGCGGTGATTGAGTGCAGCTTTGGCGACGAGGTACCCTTCAACCAGATGGTGCAGACCCTGTTGAGGAGGAAGATCGGTGCCGCTTCGGGCTCGTCAGCGGTATAGCGTGGGTGTTTTGCGATCGGGTGCGAGAAGTGGAGCAGCACTGCCACTGGCGAGGCGCACACACCCCGGATCTTTGCGGAGCCCCGGAGGTGTTTGCCCCCTATGATCACATCGTCACAACGCTGCACACAACAAAATAGGCGGGTTCGGACTAGCGCGTATTAGCTGGTTCTAATGTCGGCATGGTTCCATGTCAAGGGGGGGGGGGGGGGGCAGCTGCCCACGCCATGTGACCCTGCACGCCACCTATTTCACGTGCATGCCCCCGGCCGATGCCCGAGTGGTCATCGACCTGATGTTCTGGCTCAGCGCCGCACTGATCAGGTCGTGCGTGTACTCGGGCCGCGGCGCGCCCTCCCTCTGCACCCACCCTCGCGCCGGCCGCGGGCCGTCAGGCAGCAGCGGCTGCCTGCGCGCGTCGTCCGCGTGCACCTCCACCGACTTGCGCCGGATCTGCTCCCACCTATTCACAGCTTCACTATTCACAGCTGTACTACTCACACCGACTTGCGCCGGATCTGCTCCCACTCGAGCCGGAAGAGGCCTAAGGGTCGTAGCATGCGACTGTCTCGTCAAGAAGACGCGCCATATCAGCTAGGGCGCCATGCTGTGTCTCGGCTATCTCGGCTACATCTCGGCTACATTCTCGGCTAGAAGAGGCCCCAGCTCGCTCGGCGCGAGAGCTCGATCGCGCCAAGCAAGAGCGTCACGTTCGCCTGCACAAGATTAGCCGAGGTCAGCCGAGGCTAGCCGAGGCCAGCTGAGGTTAACCGAGGTCAGCCGAGGTTAGCCGAGCTTAGAGCCGAGCAAAGAGCGTTTGCCTGCACGACCCTCTGGTGCGGCGAGATGTAGACGGCCCACGTCAGCCGCGCGACCAGGTCGACGCAGATGCCGACAAAGTACCACAGCGTCGGCAGCGCGCGCACCGGCCGCAGCCAGAACGCGGCGCCCGAGTTGGCCGCGCCTGTTCACAGCCGTCGGCGTGCAGCGACTGCCGTATGTGCGCTCAGGAAGGCCCCCGAGTTGGCCGCGCCTCGGTAGACCGGCTCTCCGATGGCGTAGCGCACGGCGCGTCGCACCGGCTGAGGGCCTATGTGTTCTTGCACTGGATTTGGGTACCGGGTTTGGTAGGGTACTGCACCGCGTCGGACGGGCCGAGGGCCGAGGCCCCAGTCGACGAGCACGTCCCAGAGGAAGGCGAAGAGGGAGGAGACGCAAGATGCCGCGAGCCTGCACGAGAGTCGAGCCGAGAGTAGCCGAGAGTACGCCGAGGGTGCAAAGAGACGCGAGACGCCGCGAGCCAGAGCGAGCGGCCGGAGGACGGAGTCTCGGGCGACGCGATGAGTGAGAGGACCTGGTCACAGCTGTGTGACTGTGTCGCCCCCCCCCCCCCCCTCCCTCAGGTCTGTGGTGTGGAGTGAAGCCACGTCTCCTGCCGCTAGAGTCGCTTGGGGCGTGGAGAGGGGTTCAGATCTTAACTAAGTTTGCACCTACTGTACTGGCCCGCCTGGACTGTCAGCGAGGCGGCGCACGGTTGCACTAGGCTGCATTGCTGTCTGGCTGTGTGGCTGTGTGTCATGCACTAGGCTGCATTGCTGTCTGGCTGTGTGGCTGTGTGTCATGCACTAGGCTGCATTGCTGTCTGGCTGTGTGGCTGTGTGCCATGCACTAGGCTGCATTGCTGTCTGGCTGTGTGGCTATGTGCCATGCACTAGGCTGCATTGCTGCCTGGCTGTGTGGCTGTGTGCCATGCACTAGGCTGCATTGCTGTCTGGCTGTGTGGCTGTGTGCCATGCACTAGGCTGCATTGCTGTCTGGCTGTGTGGCTGTGTGCCATGCACTAGGCTGCATTGCTGTGTGGCTGTGTGGCTGTGTGCCATGCACTAGGCTGCATTGCTGTGTGGCTGTGTGGCTGTGTTTCACGTGCGCCCGCCTGGACCGTCAGCGAGGCGGCGTACTTTGCAATGTTGAGCGCGTGGCGCCGCCACTCGGGCGAGCCTGAGGACAGGGTCGTCGAGCCGAGATCTAGCCGAGATCTAGCCAAGATACAGCCGAGATACAGCCGTGCTACTCACAGCCGAGCTACAGCCGAGATGTGGCCGAGATGTGGCCGAGGTGCAGCCACTCGATCCTGCCGCCGTGGCGTCGCGCAGCTGCCTGCCGCACTGCAGGGCTCGCAGCACGAACGGGAGCACCGAGAAGAGAGCGAAGGCGTGGCGGTACGCCGGCGTGTCGCCCGTGCAGACGGAGAGGCCGCGCTCGAAGGCGCGCCTAGAAGAAGAAATACCTGTCGGACGTTTCTTTTTCACGGGCCCCGCGCAGTCGAGAGAGGCCTTGCTCGAAGGCGCGCCTGTCGCTAGTCATTTCGAAAGCATAGCAGTTTAACAGGGCCGACCTGAACTGCTGCCGCTGCTGATGCTATTCCTACTATACTGCGCTACTTTACCACCACGCTGCTGCTGCTGCTGCTGCTATTGCTGCTGCTACTACTCCTACAGAGGCGCTCTACTACGCGCCTCTGCGGGTCCCAATCGCCGGAGCGAAGCGCTTCGCCCGAGAGGTAGATGCAGCTGGTCTGGGGCGGGGCGAGGTGAGGAGAGCTGAGATATGGAAGAGCTGAGAGATTGTCCGAGACTAGCGTAGGACCCTGCAGCAGCGGTCTTTGGCAGCGTCTGACTCAGTGCTCTCCGGCGTGGTGGTCTTGTGTGTTGGATCCGGCTGCGTACTCCTGCCGCTGTACTACCGCCTGCAGCAGGTCGATGAAGAGCTTGGGCATCGACGTCAGGATGTCGGCGACGAAGCTGGACGCGAAGGTCGTGGGGACGAGGCCGGCGAGCAGGACCTATTCACAGCTGCACTACTCACAGCTGTACTACTCACAGTGCCGGGGACGAGGCCGGCGAGCAGGACCCGCCCGACGCAGCGCGCGCAGTCGGCACGCTGGGCGGCGTCGCTCCACTCCGCCATGTGGTCGAACGGCCTGTGGTCTCGGATCATCGTCGGGTCAGCTCGGACACTCTCGACGCCGTCTCATTCCGCTCTTGGTCGAGCGGCCAGAGAAGGTAGGCGAGGGTCAGCAGCAGCGCGGAGGCGGGCCACGCGTGCGCGTGCGGCACGATGCCGAGCAGGGCGAGCCTGTGTGATAATTTCACCGGATTTGGGTGCCGGGTTTGGTAGGGTACTGCACACAGAGCAGGGCGAGCCAGTAGAGGACGAAGGCGGAAAAGTTGAGACCCATCAGCGAGGTGGACGCGCGCACCTGCAGGCCGGGTCCGGGAAGGGTCCGGGAAGGGTCCGGGAAGGGTCGGAGAAGGGTCCGGGAAGGGTCCGCGTGAGTTGGAGCAACCTCACTCACTGCTGGAGCTCGGAGTGTCTACAGGTAGACTACCGGTGAGCGTCTATCATTAACTAACTACGTAATCGGGCAGGGCGAGCGAGAGGGGCGCATAGCCTCACACCACCGCGTGGACATTCGTACGGCCGCCGTCGACGCCGAGGATGGCGGTGTAGTCGATCCCGCACCGCTTCCACGCGAAGAGCAGCACCCCGAAGAGGATCCCAAAGTAGGAGAGGAGGAGCATCGCGCGGAAGAGGGGGTAGTACAGCGCCGCGATCGCCTCCACGCTGGCAGTCTCGGAGCCGGCGATGACGAAGCCGACCAGCAGCACAGAGTGTGCTGGCGACGCCGGCACGGAGGCCGAGGGAGAAGAAGGCCCACTTGAGCCGATCCACCGTGATCTCCCGAACCTGATCCGAGCCGAGCCCGTCGTAGAGCTTGAGGCTGGCGACCGGCGCGACGGTGGCCTTTGACGACTGGAGTGACTCCAGCATGCTTCCGACGGAGGCGATAGTCCGCATAATCGGCGCCGCCGGCGAGCTCGGCCGTGCTGGCGTGGGGGTTTCTGAGGACGACGAGGAGGAGCCGGAGGAGTCCGCTCCAGGCGGACAGATGATGCTTGGCGGATGCGTCCAGGCGTTTTCGTCCGCAACGCAGCTGCGCTCCGCCTCGGTTGTTTCAGCTCGTGTAGTGAAATCCTGTTCGGCAGGCGGCGACGGCATCGATGCGTGGATATCGTCGCGAGGCCGGCTGAGCAGCTCGGTGGATCGCGCGCGGACACGAGTAGGCGGCGAGGGCCCCCCTGGGGCATATATCGGCTGTTCGACTATCATCAAGAGGGAGTGACAAGAGCGGCCGCATGAACTGTATCGTCGTCGTCGTCTCTAGCCAGTCGCTCTAACTCTCAGAGATGGGCTAAAGAGGATCCGGAGCGCGGTAAGACTCTGGGGCTCTCTCCGAAGGGAGCGTAGCGTACGCGGAGGGAGCTCAGAGTTTCCCCGTTCTCTGGAACCTCTTGGAGCAAGAGGACTCGCAAGAGACGAATGCGATTGGATCGGGCGGTAGATGAGGGATGGTGGTGGGTCGCTTTGAGAACTGATAGGTTGGCGCCTGCCTGAGCAGGAGCCGACGCTAGTCGGGAGCTGTGTCGGAGCCTCGTGGCGCTCGGATGTCCCGCGCACAAAGCGGCGGGCAGCGGCGGGCGCGGGGGTAAGGGTTCCCGCCCGCTAGGCGCTGCCCTCTGCGCCGAGGCTCGACCCGCTTCTCCTCAGTTCACTAGCACAAACTAAAGTTTGTTTATCATGAACTGTATCGTCGTCGTCGTCTCTAGCCAGTCACTCTAACTCTCAGAGATGGGCTAAAGAGGATCCGGAGCGCGGTAAGACTCTGGGGCTCTCTCCGAAGGGAGCGTAGCGTACGCGGAGGGAGCTCAGAGTTTCCCCAATCCGGAGCGAGGGAAGGAGCGATCCCGGGGTGAGCGACTCCGAAGCGTAGCGCAGCGCGTGGAGGATCCCCAAATTGAGTGAGTGACGGTCCCATTCGGACTCGTCCTCGGCCGTCGGCGGCGTCGCGGCGATATGGCGTTTCGCCTTCACTCGGCTTCTCGGGTTGTCCGTCGAGGCCGAGCGGCGGCCGTTATCGCCACTGGCGGCCCGTAGATCGGGAAGGCGGGAGGGGCTCTCCACTGAACCCTCGCCGCGCTGCATCTCCTCCTCCGCGCCTCACGGCGGACGCTACGAGAGGGAGGATGTGGAGGTAGTCTGCATCAGTGGGCCACGCCCGTCGCCCCGCCCCGGCCCTGGTGCCGCTGGCAGCTCGAGCACGCACGCGAGCCTGGCACCGGGCGGCGTGGACCACGAGGACGAGGCGGTGCCGAGCGAGCAAGCGGGCGCGGCGTCCGCGCATGTGCCGGGCGACGCCGCCCCCGCAGGGCCGCCCGACCCCATCGCCCAGACGCCCGCCTACCCACCGCCGACGGGACCAGAGCACGGGAGGGAGTTCCGCTCCGACGAGGACGGGGACGGCCCCACCGGGACCGAGGCCGAAGGTGTCGCCTACGCCGAAACCCTCGCCGCAGCCAAGCGGGCGCCGACGAGCGACTCCGCGCCGCTCTCGCCGCGTGCCCGCTATCGGGGAAGGTGATGAGAAGGGGCGAACACGTCGAGTACCTCACCACACGGGTGTCCCCCCCGGAACGCGCCAGGGCCGGGTGGGCCGAAGGCCCGCCACCATCGGCCTACCGGCGGGCGGCTGGCGTGCTGGCTCAGGCTGCTGTGAGGACGGACTGACACTGAGGTAGAATCGCGCATATGTGTATTACATGCTGGTGCATACGCACCTCGACAACGTGCCACACGCTGGATGGCAGTGCATACGCACCTCGACAATGTATGTGCCACAAATGCCCCGCGTGCGGTGATGCCATGTATTGTGGGGACTGACAGACTGTTCTTTCTTCACCTTATCACCTACCTACCCATACCGTTTTGTTTGTTCGCGTTGGTGTCCAGTCCGAGCCTGACTGTTCTTTACCTTCCTACAACAACAAAAACCTACCTACCTACCTACCTACCTACCTCCTTCCTCGCCCGGCTCTGACACCCCACCACGTCCACCGGATAAACTTTTTTTCTTCACCGGATCGTCAGAGAACGGGTCCGTGGCGGTGAGAATGTAGGCAGTGAGGGCGGGGTGTCCGCGTGCTGTCGCTTCCGGTCGATGGCGTCGCCCTGCATTGCGGCCTCGGACAAGATCTCAACAAGTAGGGTGTCGCTGGACAGCGACCGGCACGCATTGCCCCACCGACATGACACCCCTGCTCAAGTTTCTTTTTTCAGGAGTGCGCCGAGAGGGCCCGCCCATACATACAAAACAAACGTGTGAGTGTTAGAGTTGTTTGGTATTGCTAAAAATCTCTCTCTCTACATACATACCGCTTACGGAGGTTGGTGTGAGCGCGGGGGACGAGTGGGGAGGCGGCGGCTGCCAACGGAGAGGGCAGGCACGAGGGCTCGGAATCGGTGGACACGCGGGGAGGTCGATGTTTTTTGCTGCCGCGGCCGCGCCGCGACCTCGCGTTTGTTTTGTTTGTTTTGTTTTTGCGCGGATGCAGCTGGCGCCGCCGCGGCGTCGGCGCCGCGATCAACCGCGCTCCAGCAGCGAGCGGTGCAGGGCGGCTACCGACATGACAGTTGGCCACGGCGTCTGCTAACCCCGGGCCCCTCTCTCTCTCTCTCTCTCTCTCTCTCTCTCTCTCTCTCTCTCTCTCTCTCCCCGGGCCCCGAAATCGCACAGTGGGGTGGTTCACAGCGAATCGACGATGTTTTCTGCGCCGGCGGGCACAGAATCCATAAGGACTGCCTGCGCGACTGGCAGCGCACCGACTGTGCGCGCGGGCTGCGGTGCCGCGCGCGCTCTGACGCTGCGTTGAGCGGCGGCGGCCGGCAAGCTGTGCCGTGCTCGACGTGCTGCATAAACGAAAAGGGCTTCGGCCACCTGGCCATCGGCAGCGACGACGACGACGTCGACGACGATTACGGCGGCGGCGGCGGCGGCGGCGGCGGCGGTAGCGGCGGCGGCGGCGGCGAGGAGGAGGAGGGGGAGGAGGGAGAGGAGGTGGGCGGCGAGGAGAAGCCCGCGAAGCGAGCCCGCTTCAGCTTCACGCAGCAGCTCCCGGAGCCGGCGCGGCGCGCGGCGGGCGTGATCGCGTCCTCGGCCGGCAGCGCTTGCGGGGCGGTGTGGGCATGGGGCTCCGCGCAACTCATGGACAAAGAATTGGACAACCCATTCTACGAATAGGTGGTGAGCCGGTGTGTGTGCCAGTCCGCGCCAGTCCGCGCCCTTGTCGTGCCAGTGTGCTGTGAGAGAGGCTTGTATTTTAAGAATTCTACGAATACAAGCACCTCTCACAGCAGACTGGACAAAGAATTTTACAACTAGCCCCTCTTACAGCAGACTACTACTGGCTCACGCCTACTACGTGCCATGAAGACAACGGCGAGTACAGCGTCTACGCCTCAAATCAGGCGGCACGCTGAAAAAATAATTTTAAAATTCAGCCCGCACGCGAGGCGCGGGCGACGGCTTCCTCAGAAGCCGAGAGAGAGAGAGGTTTAGCAACACCAAACAACTCTAACACTCACACGTCATTTGGGGCCTGGAGCCCTGTTCACGCGCGCGCGAGACGTGCAGACAGGGTTAGTTTTGTTCAGAAGCCGTCGCCCGCAAAAAAGAATTTACAACAAAGCTCCCTCGCACAACACTGGGCACGGGACTGGCGCGCACTGGCACTAACACAGGTACACCTGCCCAGTGTTGTGCAAAAAAAGAATGACGGGGACGGGCCAACGTCCGCTGCCGCCGCCCTCCACGGCCTGGATATCGTGCTCTTGAAAAGCTCAGCGTCCGACTCGCCGCCGCCGCCGTCGTTGCCGCCGCCGCCACCGCAGCCGCAGCCGCAGCACACAGCAGCAGCTGCTGCAGCGTCTGGCCGGCGAGGCCGAAAACAGCACTTTTGGTTTTTCTGGAGACACTGGTGTCACTGCAGTCTTCACGCTGCCTAGTTTCGCTTTTCGGATCGCGTGGGCTGACCAGCGACCTATACCAATCGTACAGCGCCTACGCGCCTACACACCGCGTGTGGCTCGCGACAGCCCGCCGCGCCCGGACATCCGTCGCGTCCCATGCCCAACCATCCTCGCGCGCGCGCAACTCTCCGTGCGACCGGCGACCTATACCGACGCCTCTCGCTGGTCGTCGAGCCAACCCTTTGCTCACTTGTTGTCCTCTCCAGGCACGTTTTGAGGCAAGTTGTGCCGCGCGGACAGCCCGCAGTCTCAACTCTCTCGCGGCACGCCCACAGGTGCGCGTCGGGCGCCGGCCGACACACCGGAAGCGTTGCGGCACGCCGGTGCGGCGCACTCACCGCAGCGCGAGACTTGAAACAGGGTGCTGTGCAGCTTGCATTTGGCGTCGAGGCACTCCCGCCTCGGGCGAGTTTTCGTATAGTAGTAGAATGCAATCGAGCGGCGCATCACGTTGGGCGGCAGGCGCATGGGCAGCGGGTGCCCATGGTAGGAGAAACTGTCTGATCGGAAGACCACGAAGCGGCCGTAGCTGGGCAGGATGCGCTGCTCGCACTTGTCCATGCGGCGGTTCCACAGCTCAAGGTGGCCACCGTACTCTTCCTGCCATCCCGGGGTGAGGTAGATGAACATGTTGACGCGGCGGTGCATCACGGGTTGAAGATGGCGCGCATTGAAGTCGGCGTGCACGTTGAGGTAGCCGCCGTCCGACGTGATGTGCACGCCGCTGCCCTGGTAGGCGGGGTCTGGGAAGAGGCCGCTCACGCCGCTGAGGTCCTCGAGGAAGCGCACGAATCGCGCCGAGCGCAGCTCGCGGAAGAGCGTGCGCGTGGCCGGCCCGAACGCTTCCGGCGCGAGCTCTTTCTTTTGGTACTCGGAACCCTTTTGGAGGTAGCACTTCGTAGCCCAGTGAGGGCAGCCGCTTTGGCTCTCGTCGGGCAGCTCGGCGGCCACCGCGTCAACAATGTCCATCGGGAGCAGCTCGTCGATCACCGCATGCTTGTACGGCCGCGCTATGTGGAAGCGGCGCCCGTGCTGCCGCACGGCGTCGTGCAGGCGGGCTGTCAGGTTCATGGCACCAGCAGCGGCGGCGCCGCCGCCGTTACGCCACTCATCATACGGACTGTCGAGCGTCGGCGGCTTCCACGTGGGCACCTCCGTGTAGCGAGTCGGGTGGGTAAGCACGTAGATCGCGCCGGCCGACGACGCGCAGATACACATGCATGCGACGCGGCGCAAATACCGTCGATTCGATGTCAACCCGTTTACACAGTACACGCAGCAGCAGCAGCTTGCCGCGCAGAGAAGCGCAAGGACGACGAGAACGTCGAGACCACACATCGGGCCGAACAGGCTGAAGATGCCGCGGTCCGTGCAGCGCACCTTGTTGGCCTTGATGGCAATGAAGGTGCGCCAAGTCAGAGCGAAGCCCGCCATGGGACGAGACGACGCGGGGAGAAAGGCAAGGAGATGCGCCGCGCACTGAGGCGCTGTCGGTGGATACTGACTGGTTCACACTGGCTCACCACCATTAGTGGCTCGGTTTTCTTTTGCCCTCGGTGTCCTGTCTCCGTGCGAGGGGAGGGTTGTTTGTAGTCTTTTGTTCTCCTTACAGGCAGCAGTGGTGCTCCGCAGTGCAGTTTCTCTTGCTGCCGGCTGTCCGCAGAGGGTGTCGTGCAGAGCAGAGAGGGACGCTGAGTGGATCGCGTCACCAATCCTCGCTACCAATCCTCGCTACCCCAAAGGTTTTGTGTGTCTCGCGCCTTGCGGGGGGGGAGCGGAAAGGAGGAACCTCTTCCCAAGAGCACCACTCTTGGAGCGCCGCCACTACCACCCAGAGCGCTGCAAGCAGCGCCGGGCAATGACGGCTTACCGCCCACCCAGCCCCCCCTCGGCACACCCCGGCAGCCAATGTGTGACGGCTCGAACCCGCTAAGCCATCCCGCAAGCGGGATAGCCCGCCACTCGAACCCGCAAGCGGGCGTACGAACCGCGAGCGGCTCGCACTCGTGACACGCAGGCGTCCGACAGACGGCGCCGGGGCTAGGCGACCGAAGAGGAACTACGGCAAGAACCGCACACCACCCGCTGACGAGCGCTCGCGGAACTGGTCCGCGGCGCCCGCCAGGGGCGTGCGCGAGACAGGGCTCGAAGCCCTTTTCTGTGAGCAGGGATTCCCTCCCGGCGGGGGTTGTGGCGGAGAGCCGGCATGGGAATCGCCGGCCCCCACCCAGGGGGTGCCCCTGCCAGGCGCCGCAAGCGGTGCCCGACAGGGGCGGGTGCCCCCACCCCGAGGGGTGGGGGCGGGGTCGGGGCCCAAAGTGATTCGGCCTATCGCCTCGGCAAGGTCCTCGGTGCGATTCTCCACGGTGTCGTCGAGCGAAAGTGCGGTAGCCGCGGAGGTGATGACGTCGACATCGGTGGAATCGGCTGGGTCAACGTCAATGTCGATAGCTCTTCCACGCCGGATCCCCTTGTTGTCTCCGATGTGTCGCGCCTGCGCGCTCGGCGTGTATGAAATCCATATCACCCCCTGCTCCACGACTGGGGCTTTAGGCGGCGAGGGCGGGGCGCTAGGCGGCGGCGGTTTGTTTTCGGGGGAGTCGGGTGGGTCATCGGCGTAGCTAGAGGCCCCATCACCGATGTCGTCGAGTGGGATGGTTGTACCTCCTCCGTTAATAACCACGTCGTCGCCCACGGTGCTGCTCTCCCCGTCGTCTGCGTCTGTTGGGACAGACTCGTCTTGCCACTCCGGTGCGCCGCAATCCCTCGCGCCGCTCCTGCCGAGGTCAGCTTGCTTATCGACGTAGTCGTTCCACTTATGACCACTGTGCCCCTTGACGTGTCTCCATGTCACTTCGTGCAGGTTATCCACTCGAGAACCTCGAGAGAGGGCAAACCCCGGAAAGTGCGGCAAAAATAAGCGCCTGCACGTGTAGGCGCGCATCTTAGCCAAGGCTCGCGCCTACACGTGTAGCTGCTTGTGTCAGATACGCGCCCACACGTGCAGGTGCGAGCCCTAGCTAACATGAGCGCCTTCACGTGCAGATGCGCATTTGGCGAGCTCGAATATAAGCGTCTACTCGTGCTGGCGCTCGTTTTAGCTAAGATACGCGCCTACACGTGTGGCCGCGCGTATAACTGTAATGGACCTTGTCTTCTCGACCCCCCCCCTCCCGGGGGGGCAAGTCATGCACTGAGCAACTGTCAACCCAAAAAGGACTGCACACGTGTAGGCCGCCCAGACCCCTACCTGACCTCCCACCTCAGCCTTCCACTCGAATACAACCTCGGCGGCCCTCTCCAGCTCTCCTGAGACCTAAGGTGTTAAAAAATGTATCGATCACACACCAAGTGCGTATATCACCTCAAGCCAATGTACGCGGCCACACGTGTAGGTGCGTTTCTTAGCTAAAACGAGCGCCTGCACGAGTAGACGCTTATATTCGAGCTCGCCAAATGCGCATCTGCACGTGGAGGGAGGGAGGCGCTCATGTTAGCTAGGGCTCGCACCTGCACGTGTGGGCGCGTATCTGACACAAGCACCTACACCTGTGGGCGCGAGCCTTGGCTAAGATGCGCGCCTACACGTGCAGGCGCTTATTTTTGTGTATCGCGCGCCTTGCGGGGGGGGCGCGGAAAAGAGGAACCTCTTAGCGCCATCGCCACGGTGCTGCATGCAGCGCCGGGCGACGACGGCTTACCGCCTCCCGGTCCCCCTCGGCACACCTCCGCTGCTCAATGTTTGGCGACTCGAACCCGTGAAGCTTCCCCGTGCGCGGGTTACCCCGCACACGGGTCAGCCTGCCAGCCACGTATCCACGCAAGCGTGAAGCGTGGTCCGCGCGCATGGCATTTTGCCGCACTTTCCGGGGTTTGCCTCGAGAGAGGCGAGCGACGACGAGCGAGAACGAAGCGGCGGCCCGCATTGTCTCCTGTTGTGGACATGCTCTTCGTGCACGCCGCCGCCCTGTCGCTCACGGAGCTCGATGCCATCCGACGGCTCAACGCTAGGTCTCACCGCCACGAGTGCGAGGCGTGCCTGCGGGCGTGGCCGACCATCGCCTCGGCGCCAAGCCGCCGCAGCATCGCGACCACTCCGCGGCTGGTCGGCTCCGACGCACTCGTTGCGCCTGGCAACGCGCCGTTTGGATCGCGTGCGCTGGTCCATGCCACCGTCGAGCCGGTTCTCGCACCCGAGACGTGCGCAGACATCATCGCCGAGGCGGAGGAGCGAGCCGCTGCAGACGGGTGGGGCTCGCGCTACACGCTTCAGTCGGGCTCGGACGAGCTTCACCTCGCCGATTTGCCGCGCGCCTCCGCCGCCGTCGCAGCGGCGCTCCCCGACATCGCCGCCATCGCGACTGCGGCGCTGCTGCCGCCCGAGCACAAGCCGTCCGACTTGCGGGTTCTCAACGCCCTTGTTGTGCGGTACGACGCGGCGCGCTCCAAAGACCACATGGCCCCGCACGGCGACGCCAACCTCCTCACTGTCAACGTCGCGCTCAGCGCAGGCCACGAGGGCGGCGGCACTTGGTTCCTACCCCCCTAGAAGCGGAGTCCATATCTCCCCGTATCTCCCTGTATCTCGCCCTAGAAGCGGAGTACGCTCTCTTGTGTTGCAACCGGACTCCGCTGTATTGCACCGCATCGCCTCCCTCGCGTTCGCGCGGTGCTCTGAATACACGGCACAAGACCGCCTGCCCGACCTCCTGCCTGCGTCTGACCTCGAAGGTTCCTCGCCGTCCGCGGCGGCGAGGCGGAGGAGGAGGAGGCGGAGGAGGCGGCGGAGGAGGGCGGCGAGGCTCACGGCGGCGCTGTGGTTGAGCCGGGCGGAGTCGGCCACGCGCTGCTGCACGCGGGAGCGCTGTGGCACGCGGGCGCGCGGACCGCAAAAGGCGCCGAGAGACGTCCCGCTGCTGTCACCCACTGAGACAGCTCCAGATGAGCCGAGATTGCGCGAGGCTAGGCGTGAGGCACTATCTCCCGATATCTCCCCATATCTCCGCACATCTCCGCATATCTCCCCATATCTCCCCGGGGCTAGGCGTGAGGCACATTCTCGTCCTCTTCCTGCAGTCGGCCGCGTATGTCGACCACGCGGGCGGGCGTCACTAATTGGTTGATAAAGACCCAGTATTGATAGACCATTGAAAGAGCAGGGTGGTGGTGAACCCACTCCTTTGGACCCCGCGCCAATTCTCTGTACGCGTGCGAGCTCGCCGTCATGGACGACCGACTTGCACGCAGTCTCGATTTGATCGACACAATCGACGAGAGATTGGAGTCGCCACGAGTCGGCATGAGTGCGATATCGAGTGCGCAGGCGTACTCACCGCCAGGGCCATCGCCGCGCTGGGCGGGGGCGACGCCGCTGCAGGGGAGGGGCGGGCGGGGCGGGCGGGGCGGGAGGGGCGGGAGGGGCGGGCGGGGCGGGAGAGGCGGGAGGGGCAGGAGAGGCGGGAGGGCGAGGGGGCCGAGGAGGGCGAGGCGGCCGAGGAGGGTGAGGGGGGCGAGGCGGGCGAGGGCAGGGCTGCCGGCGGCGCGGAGGCAGCGCGGCTGCTCGAGCTCGCGGTGCGCCTCAACACGGCCAGCGCCAGCGAGTGAGTGAAGTGTGCATAGCACGACCTCATTAGATTAGGTGCGCCTCAACCCTGCCGACGCGGAGCCGTGGATACAGCTGGCGACGGCGAGGCGGAGGCAGGGCGACGTGGACGGCGCCGCCGCCGCCGGCCGCCGCGCCGTCGCTCTCGGCCGGGCGAGTGGCGTCGCGTCCTTCGACGCGCTGTACAACTTGGGCTGCGACGTGCGCAACTGCGGCGGCGAGGGGAGCGTCGAGGAGGCGCTGCTGGCCTTTGGCGACGCGGCCGAGGCGCGGGCCATATCTCGGCTCTCTCTCTCTCTCTCTCTCTCGGCTCTCGGCTGTGAGGTGTCTCTCTCGGCTGTCTCTCGGCTATCTCGGCTGTATCTCGGCTATCTCCCGCCAGGCGGGGGCGGCGTGCTACGCGGCGTGTGACGTTGCGGTGCGCGCGTCGCAGCGCGCCTCCGCCGAGCTCGCTCTGGGTCAGTGCTTGGGCCAGCTGGGAATGGTGTCGCCCGCTGTTCATGCCGCCGGCTAGTGTGAACGGCGTCTCCTTTACGGGTCGGCTTGCGAATAGGTGGAGCCGGCGCTAGACGCGGTCGGCGCGGCGCTTGCGCTGGAGCCGCGCGCTGCCGACATCTGGGCCGAGCTCGCCAGGCTGAAGCTCGCGGCGGGCGAGCTCGCCGATGCGCGCGCATGCGCGGAGAAGTGCGCCGAGCTCCGGTCTGCCTGAGTGTCCACCGCCCCTACCGCCCAGTACTATGGGTACCCCCCCCACGATTCACGCGCTCCGTAGCGTAGCGCGTATAGTGCCAGGGTCCCTACGGCTTTGCCCTCTAGCGCCGCGCACCCAGTTGGCCCTAGCTGCGTCCCCGCGGCGCGGCCTACCCGATGGCGTGGTGCCCGCCCTCCACCCACCTCCCTGCGCGGGGCCGCGGGGCCGCTCCGGGGCGACCCGGGCGCCCTCCGACCACACTGTCCTATTACTATCATTATAACAGTACGGAAAGACTAAGAGGTATATTGTGTATACTCTACTGTTTACTGTACAGTAGGTAGAGGTCTCTAGAGGTAGGACCCCCCACCCATGATCCCATGTGTCTTCCACGATAATCTCGACACCGTCTCGACTCTGCGCGGGGCACGGCCGACGGAACAGATTTTTTCTCTCGTCTCTCGACTGAATTCCGTTTCGCGCTTAAAGTAAAACCCCCGTCAAAAAGGCGCAGTCAGGCCGGTGGGCGGTGGCCAATGCAACGGCAAGAGCAGCGCCTCCGCCCGCTCCTCCCGCCGCTCCTCCGCGTAGCTGTGCTGCGCCGCGCGGCCCTCAGGGAGGGAGGCCCGCCAGCGCACAGCCTCGGCCACGCCAACCACCTCGTAGCGCGCCTCGTCGTTCAGCTCCGCGATCGCCTCCGTGCCGTCGGCGTGAGCGGCCGCCGCCCGCGCCTGCTGCTGCCCCTCGGCTAGCTGCACCGCCCCCGCCGGCACGGCCGCCGCCTGCGCCTCCGCCGCCGCCGCCTCGGCCTCGGCCGCCGCCTGCACGTACATCTCGCGCGCGAGGAGCCTGCAGTCAGCCTGCGTGAACGGGCGCGCTGTCGGACTGCCTCTACCGTCCTCGCCGCCGACGCCGCCGCCGTCGAGCGTCCTGCCGCTGGCAGCAAAGCCGAGCCGGGCCTGCAGCGCGTCCCAGAAGCCGACCGGCGCCGCGTCGCCTGGCGGGTGGACGAGGAGGAGGCCGCACTCGTAGTTCGCCACCCAGAGCACCCCCTCGCCTGATTAATAGTGAGTAACACAGTTCATTAGTTGTTCACAGTAGCTCGCCACCCAGAGCACGGTCTCGCCGCCGCCGCCGCCGACGTGCATCCTCGCCGTGGCGAGCAGCCGCGGAGAGCCCCAGGCGGCCGGCGAGAAGTTGTGCGAGCCGAGGTAGAGGTAGCCGCTCCCGTCGCGCCAGCGCCGCACCGCCACCTTTGAGTGCTGGAAGCCCTGCTGCTGCGTGGTCTGCTCGCACTCCGCCAGCAGCGGGCGCAGGCGCGACCGTCGGCCAGCTTGCACGCGCAGCACGTCCGACCACGTCCTCGCCGACATCATGTAGGTGAGCCACGGCAGCCGCGGCGGCGCCGCCCACAAGTGCCGCTCCCGCACGCGCACGTCCCCGACCCCCCCCTCGAGCCTCACCCGCCACCAGCCGCCCGCGAGGCGCGAGGCCGCCACGCCACACCAGCGCCAGCCGCGCCTCCCCTCCTGGCTCATAGCGGGCGGCAGCGGCTGCCCCTCCGCAACGGGCTGGGCGGCGTTCGCGCGGAGGACGACGCGCCCGTGAGGCTGCACCGCGGTGGCGACGAGGTTGGCGGCGCTCAGGCTCACGAGCTTGGCGTGCTCCTCGCCCCTAGCCTCGCCCGGCTCGAGCTCGACGCACCACTGCAGAGACGACAGGTTCGCACGGCGCAGCGAGAGCGCCTCGCCGCTGTCCAGGACCGCCACGTAGCGGCCCCGAGCAGGCACGCGCCTGCCGATCCGCACGCGCTGCCCGTTGAGCTCGGCGCGGCGCCGCAGCCCGCAGATGAGCACGCACTCCCCCTCGGCCAGCGCTAGCGGCCCCTCCCCTAGCTGCTCCTGCAGCACCCCCGTGCGGCCGTTCAGCGAGCACAAGTCGCCGCAGAGGCCGCGCAGCAGCACACGGCGCCCCTCGCGCAGCCGGCGCGCATCTTGGCGCGCCCGTCCAACGGCCTGTGAATAGTATAGCTGTGAATAGTACAGCTGTGAATAGTATAGCATCTTGGCGCCCCCGTCCAACGGCCTCATCGCGCAGCCTCCTCACCGAATGCGTCGACGGGAAGAGCACCTGCGAGGCGGGGGAGCACAAACAACCGCAATAAAATCATCGTCCTGTTGTTATGAGGAGAGACAGGATGAAGCGCCTGCGGCAGGTGGTCCGGCAGACGCGGCGGATGCCCCTCGACCAGCCCCGGGAGCTGCTCGTCCTCGTCCTCCGACGCGCCTAACAAGAAATCGAGGACAGAAATGTGCGACCAGACCCGCTGCTCCTCATCCTCGGACTCTCCCTCGGAGCCGCCACCGTCGCCGCCCGTCGCGTGCACGAACGCCTGCGCGAAGCGCGTATTCTGGTACAGGTTACCCAGCGAGGAAGTGGAGTAGTAGTCCGCCGCGGCATCGCGCGGGCTGCGCCACAACCTCCCACGCTCGCGCGTCCGGCCGAGGAGCTGAAGCAATCGGTGCAAACCCCGCGGCCGCTCCGCCCGCCCGAGCAGCTGCAGCAGGCTCCCCCACACGCCGCCGTCGCCGTTCGAGTCGAGGCAGGGCTGGCCGCCGGCGGGCAGCCAGAAGTGCAGCGTGAGCACCTCAAAGCCGCGCACCACACCGAACCCAAAGAGTGAGCTCGCCTACTCGAGATCGCGTCGAGATTGCCCGAGATCGCCTGGAGAGGCAGCCAAGCCCAAAGAGTGAGCTCGCCGGTGCGGCGGCGGTGGCGACGAGCACACCGCAGCGCAGCAGCGGCGCGACCCACGCCGCGACCTGGCACGAGCGAAAGGTCTCGGAAAGGTCTCGGAAAGGTCTCGGAAAGGTCTGACCCACGCCGCGACCTCGCGGGGCAAGCAGCCGAGCTGCCCCTCCTCCTCCCGCAGCGCCGCCGCGTCGCCGCCCGCCGCGGCCAGCGCCTCTCGCAGCGCCGCCGGCATCCAGACTGCGATAGCGTTCGCGTCGTGTGGATTGCCCGGCTGCGGGCGCAGCTCCAGAGCGACCTCGCCGCTGCTCCGGCACAGCTGGCGCGCAGCCTTGGCGATGCGCAGAAGACGCGACCCCTTGCCCTCGCCTCCGCCGCCCACGTCGCCACTGCCGTCGCCCGCGCCGTCGCCACTGCCCTCGCCCCGCCTCGGGGGAGCGGCGTTCACGTCGCGCGCGTCGAGCAGGCCGCTGTAGTAGCGCCTCGCGCCCGCGAGCGCGCACCGCACCGTCGCGACACAACCGGGCGGCGGAGGGGCGGGGCGGAGCGGGAAGATGCCTGGAGCCGAGGTCACCAGATGCACGTTGGGAGGCGCCGCGCGCCAGTCGTACCTCGCCAGACGCCAAAAGAGGGCGACGGTGGCGGCGTGCGGCGCACACGGCGCCAGCATCGAGGCGAAGAGGCAGGCGAGCTCCGCGCCTACCTTAAGGTACGTGCTGGATGCGCCAGCCTCGGGGCGGGAGTATTGTCTCGTGCAGAGTCGCCAGAGCACCGCGTGAAGACGGTGGAGACGAGCACAGGGGCTACAGCGGAGTGCGGTCGAGTACGGCGGAGTACGTGCCCTCTCGAGGGCTGGTTGGAATGCAACAACACTTCTTCCGCTTCTAGGGAGGCGAGCCGAAGGAGCCGTCCGGAAGCAGCGCGGACCAGTCGGCCACGTCCTCGCCGAGGCGCTGGGTGCGGACCGGGAAGGAGTGGTGCCAGAGGTGGTTGCGCACGCCGCCGGCCGCCCAGCCGCCTCGGTTGAGGTTGGCGGTGGCGACGACCACCACGGCCGCGTCGGGAAAGAGCAGCACCAGCACCTTCAGATAGGAAGGTGAAACGCAGTCCGACCAACGGCTGGGACACCGGCGCGGTATGGGTGGACGCAGGACGGGCGGTGACGGTCACACCTTAGGGTGCACGCACCCGAGCAGCCCCTCGTAGGCCTGCTCCTCCCGCTTCGGAGCCCAGTCCTTAAGCTTGTCCGGCGCGTCGCAAAAGGGCGGGAAGACTAGGCACGCGTTGCGGAAGCCGGGCACCGCACCAGAGGCGGCCGAGCGGCGGTCGGCGGCCGCTCCCGCCCAGCACTTGACCGGGTGGTGGCACGCGATCACCGCCGGCGTCTCAGGTCGCACGCCGAGAGTGGCCAGCAGCCAGGCGGCATCGAGGCTCATCGTGGATGCGAGAACGCCGTCGCACTGCTCGCCAGCGAGAGCGCCGAGCAAAGCCTCGCCACTCTCGCCGCCGCGCCCGATGAGACGGATCGACGAGAGGAGCTCGTCGCTGCGCCACGGCGGCTGTTGCGAGGGCAGCTGCTGCTCGTCGCTGTGCAGCGGGAACTCTGGCCGCCGGCATGAACGCTTCGCGCTCATCTTGGGTCGGATGCGCCCGTTTTCTACCCGACTACCGGTACTGCGGGGTCGGCCAGAAAAGAATTTTCGCACCCCAGGGCTTCGAGGTTTTTCAGCTGTTTTTATCGTGCGCTGCTCACCGTCACTATACCACTGAGTGGAGGGAGAGTACACCACACACACAAAAACTACTCCCCAACACGCGGCTAGCCAGGCCTGCCTGCTACACGATGGCGACGTTCTCACTTAGGGTTCTGTCTGCGTGCCTTTGCTGCCTCCCGCTTGGAGTCGGCAGTAAAGCAAGTGGGTGGAAGCGGGGGCGACAGGGACGGCGGCGGCGGCATCAGGGTCGGCGATGCCGAGGTGTGTGCCGCCGCGGATCAGGCCGGGCGGCGGGGAGGAATCGGAAGGTGACGGACGGCACTCTCTCTCGGACGGCGGCGGCAGGGACAGGGGCAGTGGCGGTGCCCAGGGATGGTGGCGACCGCCGCGAGCGGGATGCAGCCGGCGAGGCGAGGTGGCAGGTGGGCGCGACCGTTGCGCGCTGCTCGAGTGCGCACGACAAAGCAGCTCTGGATGCAGCCATGGTGACCTGCGTGGCGCGAAATATTTTTTTCAGAATTGCTCCCCGCGAAACGCGCGTGTACGCACAGCGACGGCGTTGTCCAACAATGGCGTCCGGCGTCGACTTCAACCCGTTCCTCTTCCTCCGCCGCCGTGCGAGCCGGAGGCAGGCTCGCCGGCAGCAGGAGGCGGAGGCGCGCGAGGAGGCGAGGCGGGCCGAGGAGGCCCGGAGGCAGCGGGCACGGGAGGCAGGAGCGAGGCGGGCCGACATGGACGTGCTCTTGCTGCAGTTCCCCGAGGCGGACCGCGACCTGGCGATGAGTGTGCTCGTGGCGTGCGGAGACAATCGCGGCCTCGCCACCGAGAAGCTGTCCGACATCATGGGCGAGCCGCCCTTCAAGGAATGCGCGGTGTGTATGGAGCGGCCGCGCGAGGTGCGGTTCGAGTGCGGGCACGCGTGTTGCTGTGAGTCGTGCGCCACCACGCTCTCCGAGTCTGCTGCGCCACTCTGCCCGCAGTGTCGTGCGCACATATCAAAGGGTGCGTGGACGACGGAGCCCGATCGGCATGGAACCGCAATCGGAAGGCAAAGCACCTACCGCGGCCAGCAACCCGAGGAACCAGCCTCGACGCCAGCGGCCGCTTCCAGCCCAGCGCCCACGGGGAGGCAGGATGCGGTCGTGGGACAACTCGCTCTCATTGGTCTTGCACTGGTCGTGAGTGCGATAGCCGTTGCGGGGGTGCGCTCGGGCGGCGCGGGGTAGCTAGAGAATAAAAGCGCGGCCGCGTGGGGAAACCTCGAGGAAACCTGTGCCGCGGCTGCCGGCCGGGGCGCTCTCCGTCATTTCGACGCCGTCAACGGGCTCAAACCCAGCGGCACGCCCTGGAGCCCGGTCGGCACATAAAGTCATAAGGTAAGGTAAGGTAAACTTCTCCACACAGGGCGTGCGTCATGCAGAGCGCAGCCACGTCATCGACATCCTGGCAGGCGCCTCCACCCATGTCGGTGTCGAGGATGAGACGGACAGGCCCCGCAGGCGGCCCCAGGCCCAGCGCGCCGCGGAGGAGCAACAGGAGCGTCGCCGGCATTGGCGACCGCGGCGCGACGCGATGCGACATCTTTGTGGCGTGCGGCCCCGGCGGGCGGCGGGCGCTCTATTGTAGGGTGCCCACAGGGCCCAAAAAAAGAAAGGGAAAAGAAATGAACGGACGTCCGCTCGGGGCATCTCATGTTGGAGGATGTCAAATTTTGTATTGATCTCTCCCCCCGAAAAAATTAGATTTTCTCAAAGATATGTCCACCTAAGGCAGGGCTCCGCCCTCAGATCGACCGGGGATACCCGCTTGCGGGCGTACAGCAACGCCAAAGAGAGCGGATGGGAGGCGCTCGTGGGCTCGAATCTGCGCTGGGAACGGCAAAACGCGAGGAAACGCGGTGGGCGCACACCACTGCGCGCGCCCCCGCATGCAGCCATGTCGCGGCTGGCCGACCTGCCCATGGAGCTCCGCCACGCCGTCATCGAGGCTATCCAACAGCCTGGCCTCATCCGGGCCCGCAATGGGCCGCGCGTAGCCGGCGACACGTGTAGCCTCCTCGCGCTGGCGTGCACCAGTACGTATTGGAGAATTGAGGTCATGATATTCATCGAGGACAGCGCGATCGGGGGGAGAGGGCGGGGCAGCGGCTTTGTGATCACGATGGATGCCCACGCCGGACCGTGGCACGGGCGCCAGGACCTTCCCATTCACCCGTCGATCAACCCGTCGATCAACCCCGAGTACTTGTGTCAGCGGGTTCTGCGCAGTCTGCGCTGGGTCGGCGTGTCCGAGCTGAACCTCAAGAACTTCCGAGATACCGGCGGCGAGTTCCTCATGCACGAGGTGGTGCTATTTCTCCGCGGCCCGCTCAATGCTCGCCTCCGGCTTGTGAGCCTCCGCCTCTCGGACAATGGGATCAAGGAGGGCTTCCGACAGCTGAGGAAGGCTCTCAAGGCTGGGCTGGCGCCGAACCTCGCCATTCTCGACGTGTCCGGCAACTACCACCGCCGCCTGGGCCAGCGCTTCCTTGACACTCTCATCTCGCGTTCCTATGTCGAGGTGGACGATCCCCCTTGGGGATTATTGCGCAGGGTTGATGCGGGAGACGAGCGGCACCACCGAGTGACATGGGAGTTCCCTCTGTGCTGGATGCGCCTCGGGCCTGTGCGTGACGGGGAGTGGTGCGACTTCGCCGAGTACTACTCCTCCCACGACGCTGATCCCCGGTACTGGCTTCGGCGGCGTCTCCATCCCGCCGACCCGAGACCCGTCCGACCAGCCGATCGGGTGGTCCTTGCCCAGGAGCATAAAGACTGGCGGGAGGATTGGGAGGACGGCATCTGGGATATGAGGGGGTGTTACTTTAATGAGCCTCTCTAGAGCCAGCTTAACAAAAACAGGGGAGGGGGGCGGGCGGGCGAGCGAGTCGTAGGAGCAGCGCGGGCGGTCCTTGAGTCTCAGCTCTCGCGCTATCTCGAGGGACACATACATGGGACACCGCGACTCTACGCCACCCGAGCCTGCTTGGCGCCGCGCCCTCGGCCACCGCGCCCCGGTCCCCCGCCGCGGCCATTCCCACGCGAGCCCCTCGCGCCCCTCCCGCCGCCACGCCCACGTCCGGCTTGCCTCCGGCTCGCCTCGTCGTCACTGCTATCCTCCTCCAAGTCGCTCTCGTCCTCCGCCTCCTGCTGCGCGATCGCACGCTCCGTCGCCGTGGCAGCCGTACTCCGCTTCGGCTGCTGGCGGGTTGGGGCGGGGGGGGGAGCGGCGGCAGAGGCGGGAGTAGGGGCGCCGCCAGTAGCAGCCGCATCGCCGCTAGAGCCCGATGCGGTGCTGCCAGCAGCCGCAGCACCCGAGCCGCGGGCCCTCTGGCCGCCAGCCGTCTTGCCCCGCTTGCCGCCGCCGCCGGCCCCGCCGCCGCGCCTCTTGGCGGGCCGCGACTTGCCCATCCGGCTCCGGAAATCGTTGATGAGCGAGTCGTCCAAGATGCTCTCCGCCGGCTCCCACGAGTTCAGCCCTTCCAGCGGACCAAGTACTGCTTGACGCCCCTGTACGTGCGCTCCTTCTCAATGCGCTCGACCTCGTACACGTCCTCCTCCTCAAGGATGTCGCCCATCGCCACCTCGGAGTAGCCCTCATCCTCGGAGTCGTCGTCCGAGCCAGCGCCCGACTCGTCCGACTCGTCCGACTCTGACTCGTCCGACTCCTCGTCCGACCCGTCGGACCCGTCGCTGCCTGTGGAAGTGCGCCGCCGTGCGGGGCGGCGCCGCGCGCCGCCTGCCCCAGCCGCACGTCCAGCGCGCGGCCCCCCAGCACGCGCAGCGCGGCCGAGGCCAAGTAAGCGCAGCCGTGCCGTGTCTGTGTCGGTCGTCGCCCCGTCGACGCCGCGCCGCTCCCGATCCAAAATCTCGGCCGCGACCAGCTTTTTCAGCTGGTCGCGCAACTCCTCCTTGTTGCCCGTCACGCGAATCACGTGCCCGAGCAACTGCGAGGGGGCGGGGTGGAGTACGTGCACATTAATACGGTAGAAGAGGGGGCCGTTTAGAGCTGCTCTAAACGGGCGGCGCGCCTCTTTGTGTCGAGCCACGTCCGACTTCGAGTCGTCGAGGGCGGCGCGGATGCTGAGCTGCACGGCGAGCTGCTTCGCAGTGAGCATCTCGCACGCGCCAACAGTGAGCACCTGCGTCAAGGCGGGCACTATCTCGGGCAATCTCCGGCGATCTCGGGCGATCTCGGGCGATCTCGGGCGATCTCGCGTACGACGCGCGCCTCGATGCCCTGCCGCCGTAGCTCGCGCATGTGGCGCTCCTTCGCCTCGCGCTTGTCCCGACGCGCCTTCACCGCTGCATCCTTCTGCTGTTGCAGCGGGAGGCGCTCGCGCGTGAGGCGCGCCGTCTCCTGCTCGCGCGTCTCCTGCGTCGCCAGCCTCGCGGCCCCCATCGCGTACTTGATCGTGGATCGCTGCTGCCCCGCGCTCCAGCCCTCGATGACCAGCTTGGTGCCCGAGCGCCCGACGTTGCGCCCAAAGCGCAGCACGCCCGCCTTGGCATGCAGCCTCATGACCGGGGCATTGTTGCTGAGGTAGCAGAGCTGCGCGAGGTCGCGCTCGCAATCGTTGTTCTCGATGGGATGCGCCTCGAGCTCGAGCCTACGATGGGGAGGTGTGGGTCGTGATAGTTTGACAACACGCGGGGTGGCTGCGCGTTCCCTCTCGCAACGCCCATGCTGGAGGGAGCACGCTAGAGGGAGGGTGTGAGGGAAGGTGCGGCAGGAGCGAAATGGCACCAGGTCGACTCTTGAAGATCGGCAGACATCGTCTTGAGGTCGAGCCGCCCCCCGCTGAGGTGCTCGGCGGTGTGCCTCTTGTACACCTCGAGCGCGTCCTCCAGCCCCGCCTTGAGCATCCGCAGCAGGTCGCCGTCGCCTCTCGCTGGCGTGTGCAGCACGTACGGCATCAGGTGGGTGTCCTCGTTTAGGGGCGCGTTGAAGTACGAGAGGCCGTGCACGTGGCCGTTGAGAAGCGGCGCCGGGTCCTGAATGAGCCTGCAGTACCGTGTGGGTGGGGTGCTAGAGGCGGTCGAGTCACTCTTACTCCTTACCCTAGTTTCTACACCCTACCCCCTCCTCTATTTCCCTTCCTCTTTCATCTTTCTCTCCCTCTCTCCTTCTTTCTATTCCTTTCCTCCCCTTCTACTCTTCACCACCTCTCTCTCTTCTCTCTTCTCTTCTTCCTTCACACCCCCTATTATTCTTCTTCCTCTCTCT